TTAAGCCATTATTTTTATGCTCTTTCGGAAAATAAGAAAAAATTAAGAAATTCCCAAAATAGATTTTTATGATGTCACAGCTTCGGTACTCTATATAACCTTCATCCCTCACCCTTCCCCCCTCTGTCCCTTATCCTTCCTCCTCCTCCCAGGCTCCCCCTTGCCTCCTTCATGATCCTTCCATTGCTCTTTCCCTCGCTATTCTTCCCCTCACTGCTCTCCCAAGAATAGAACATTAAATGTGGTCAAGAGATAAAATGGCTTTCACTGACCTCCTTCGAAGCCCACTGGAATCCTGCAATGACGCTGTCTTTGATCTCGTTCAGGGTACTGCACTCCCTTGGCACAGTCGACCAACAAGTTGGGACCGGTTCCCTCTGGCCAAAGCACCAGATCTTACGGGATTCTTGGGCCTCAAAGTTATATTTGTCAATCAAATAACGGCTACGGAGTTTGAAATCTTGCTTGGAACTGACTTCTCCCTGTAAAGCAAATAATATTGGAAAAGGTAACATGTGATACAAAAAGAACTTTTTATTTGAGATTGGTTCCACTACATTCTGACTGTAACTACCATTAAAGGCAAATCCTACCCTCATAATATGATGATTTGTATGAAAGCAGAAAAAATAACAGAAACAAATAGACCAATAGTAAGGAATTATGAATGCTTGAAATATGAGAGATCACTAAAAGTCTATGCGAATCTCAAATTGGTAGTTTGGTTAGTGGATTGTGTGACGTAGGATGAGGGTAACTCTACCATTTACCGTCTACAAAAATATCACTTATTTTTTTTTTTTTGTTAGTTCCTTCTCTCCTTGGTGTACTACTTAAAATATATTGTAGATTACATTACTATAGGTCCTCTATAAGAATAGACCCTCCTGAGCCCTGTATCTAGAAAAATATTAATTTTAGTCATTTGATACATTGGAATAGATGGGAAAGAAAGACACTACCGCTTAATCTAATTTGAAGTGCCCATACGTATAGTGATTACAACTTTTAAAAATAATGACTTTCTTATATTAAGTCAGATTTAATTGAAACTTTCATCAGTTTGCTTCTCTAATTGTTCTGCTTTTGTTTAGAGTAGTTGTCTATTTGGGGTGGATTTCCCTTTCATATTACAGATTTCAGTCTTCATTCACATTTCCAAAAATATGACTAGTCGCTACTTACAATTAAAAAAGTATGCTCGTCAAATTCTAATGCATTGTACCATTATACATTACAGTCACTGGGCACTAGGCCAAAGTCGAGATGGTTTTCCTTTCAACCGGGGCCCCTAATGACTGATAAATTAATATGAGTGGTTTCCTTCTATAACATTTAGGTTACTTGTGCATTCACAATCATAATTGCAATTGGTAATTTATGATCGCAATCACACACAAAAAAACACTCGGGACATTCACTTTTTTTTAAAGCAAATGGTCTCTTCAGGAAATCCCCATCTGTGAAAATCTTTAAATAAATACTGAAAGCACATCATTTCAATTAACTGAAAATCTAAGCATATCAGGAGCTCTTGTAGCGCAGTAGAATATCGTCGGTGGGGTGACAAAACCTTGTATCTCAAAAATCATGAATTTTTAGGAGAGCAAAAAAAAATTCCTGTCTCAAAAAATTTAGTGCTGTGACACCGTCCTTTCTTTTTAAAACTGGAATATTTATCCAACTTTTAATGTCATTGTTGAAATACAGTAAAATAATTGTTTTTATATTTGAAAGTGAGTTACAAGGTTTTTGCTTTTATCTACATTGAGATACGAGTTTTTAGTTTTTATTCAAATTGAGATACAAGTTCTTACTTTCAACTCTGAATGAGTTACGAGGATTTGGTTGAATAAGTTACGAGGATTTGAATACACTAACTTCGATACTGTTAGGCCGTGTGTGAGTTACAAGAAGAAGGAATAACGTATCTTATGTTACGAGGTTTAGTTTAAGGGTGTTTGTGTGGAATTTGTGAAAAACCGAGACAGGAGGCGTTCCATGGATTTATCAGGTGGTAAATTAGGTACAAAATTATGCAAAAAAATCAAAATCTAAAAAAATTGAGATACAAGGTTTTGTCACCCCTGGACGATATGTACTTAATGTTGGGTAGTTTCTGCGCTCTATAAATGTATTATTATTATTTTATTATTATTACACCCAGCTACAGATAAACTAATATATTTTATAGAATGAACTGAAATATATTTTCCCCTTACAATTTGACAACATATGGCACATTTTCAAAACTTCTCGAACTGAAAATCTGAAACAGCAAAACTGGATAGGTACAGTACTTTTTTAAAGAGGGTACTATTGCCTAAAATATTCACTACGCAGGCGAGATAAAAACCATTGTTCACTCTTGGACTAAAAAATATTCAGGATGATATACAACAGCGGTATTGTATAATACTTACATTGTCAATATCTTCGGCCAGGCCGTCTGGCAATGGTGCTGCTCTCATGAAGAGACGATTGTGCTTGTTGGGTGACTTGGATAGACACATTCGGTCTGATTCCGCAGTGACACCTTCACGGTAAGACACGACTGGGTCGGATTTCTGCCAAAGAAAGGAGGATGGTTAAAGATAAAGACCAGTTATGGTCATGCGATTGCATTGTGAAAGAAACGTTGAGGAGTCGATCAGAAAAGGTTGATCATCTAGCATTGTATTGGTATTGGTGTGTATTGGTGTGTACTGCAAGGTTCTGGAATCGTCAAAATGATAAGAAATTTGACCCAGTCTTGATAAAGTTACAAGCACTGTACACAGAAAGATGTATATGGGACTACCCCCACACGTGCGCAATACATGTGTTATATCTATCAGGTCCAAATAGATATAATAATTTACCAAATATATCAATTAGTAGGCGGTTTCTCAGCAAAATTTGTATGATCACGTTTAGTCAAAACATTCTTTCACATGATTGGTAACAAGAGCTTTCATTTCATTTTTTGAGAGGGGGGGGGGGCATTTTCAAAACTGGTCTTTACCTTGAACACATAGGTTTAAAAAATCTTTTTATTTGTATATAGGAATGTATAATGATAATAAAAATATTCCCCTATTACGTAGGGCTCAAAAAATCGATACAAGGATGTGTCTAAGTGCTTTAGAGATATATTATCAAAATTATAAAATGTTGTATCTAACACTACAAGGATTGGACAGGTTTTAGCGTCAGAAGGAGGTGGGGATGGAGGGGGGGGGGGCGGCCATGCCTATCCCCAAAGGCAAAGGAACATATAACATATATCGCAGCAAAATTTTGCATGAAGCTTCAAACTTATGCATGGACCTGACCAGTAACTTATTTTCATTATTTATCAAAATTTATGCAAATTACATTCAGAAATAATGATTCACTAAAGGAAAAAGAAAATTACAGTTTTCTACACATGTTGTACTCTAAACATTTAAAAATTTTGGGGCTGCCAAAGGGGTCACACAAGGAAATGTGACTCTGTAACAGTATGCATGATTCTTACGTATTTCATGTCAACAATTTTCGAAACCATGTGATAAAATGTCATCGCATCCCAAAATTATCGCTCGTGCCATCTTATCAGGGTTGTGAACGGGAAAAAGAACTTGTATTTGTAACTGAAATTAAATTACAGACTCCTTCAACAAAAAGACTTAGCTATGGGAGACGTAGTAAATGAAGGAGATATAAAGCAGACAGGTATTTTAGACTAACACAAAACAAGGTGTGCTATGGGAGATATAGGGAATAAAGAAGAAATAAAGCAGAGTGGTTGTTACCTTGAGAGGAATACCAGCATGATCTTCCTCCAGATCCTTGAGGCAGATCTCAAGATGAAGCTCGCCAGCTCCAGCCACGATGTGCTCTCCAGACTCTTCAATGGTACACTGTACCATAGGGTCAGACTTGGCCAGACGCTTCAGTCCTTCGACAAGCTTGGGCAACTGAGAGGGATCCTTCGCCTCCACAGCTACACGTACCACAGGACTCACAGAGAACTTCATGGTCTGTCAAACATTGCACAAGATAAATGCAATCAGTACATCAAATCTTTAAAAACTGACATTTTCTCTAGCATTCTCTGACCATTTCCCCCAGAGTGAATGTGAATTTTCACATGTATCTTGTTACTTGTATGAAATGTAGTTCAACCCCATTCTAAACTGGGCTTTTTTAATTGAAAGCTTATCCCTACAGACGGGTGAGGGATCATTAAAGCCCCTCTAAAATGTTGTGAGCCCCAAAATTTGATGGCAAAATTTTGCTTAAATTTATCATAAGGTGAAGGAGGATGTCATTTAAGACACATTTCTGCAAGGATTTTCAAAACAAAAGTGTTAGAAGTCGAATATTGATGAAAGAATACAAAATTTAGGTTTTCTGCGTACAAAAAAAAAAAAATCCATATTTGTCTTCAAACACATTTTTTCTACTCTCTCTTTTAACCAACACTTTGATTAAGGAACTTTAGCAGCTTTAATCAATTTTTTTGCGCACTATGATGTGAATGTACAGGATTTTCTTTAAGTGTTGGGACACTAATTTCAAGGATCTAGAAAACGTGTCATACCTTGATGTTTGGGCATATTCATAGGTGGTGATGGTTCCGGTCTTCACTAAGAACTGATCAACGCCAACCAGACCACAGATGTTACCGCATGGTACATCTTCAATAGCCTCTTGGTAGCGACCCATCATGAGAATAGTCCTGTTACACAATAGAAACAAAGAGATTTAATTCATATAAAAATAACAGTAACCATAGTTGCCACTTGCCACTACTATATGAACAAATATCACGTTTTTTAAAGATACTATGTCCCTTTTGCAGACAACCTCAAATTCTGTAGAACTTTGCAGGAATTATGAATATGTCATGCATGTCCTATTTGTGAAATTTAAATGTTAGTGCTGTCCTAATATTTAAATTATGCAAGGAAACCCGTTTACTTGCTAGACTTCACTGTCAGACACTATTGAGTGACTGACAGGCTTTTTTCTTCTTTGGTAGTAACATACATAATACTAGAAATTTAAATCGTCATGGGGACGAATTAGGTGGTCTGTCTTCAAGTCTTATGAGAGATTATAATATTTACTATATTGAGAAAGGGAGAAGTTATATAGACATGTAAACAATGATGATCATGATGATCATGATGATGATGATCTTGATAGTAATGGTAATGACGATGATGATGATCATGATGATCATGATGATGTTGATGATTATCATCAACAGACCACGATGACATCAGACTGAACAAAATTAGAGAACATTTAGATAGCGTATAGTCTCAGCTACAACATACTCAAAAATCAACAAAAACCAAGCCGAAATAACGGCGATATTGCTCGCAAAAGACAAGAATGTAGAATCCAGATTTGAGAAAAAGTCATCTCCCATAAGGATTACACGCCAAAAGTAATGGATCTAGTGATAATAGGGTAATAATAAAGTAAATATGGTTTTTATTACATTATTTGCGATTGTACGTGTTTTAATATTTAAAGGAGATGGTAGAGTGAAAGGTCAAAAAGAAAAAAAAGTGAAGAAAAAAATTGTTGGAGACGCCCGGACTCGAACCAGGGACCTCGAGGTCGGAAGTCAAGTGCGTTACCAATATACCAAAACATTTCCCATAGAGATTACACGTAAACGGAAAATGGAATTATCAAATCCCACTTTGTAAGTGAAATATGAGCATGATCCCGGCATCTGATCGAAAAATAAAGGACACATTTGTGATAGCTTATTTTCTCAGCTACAACATACTCAAAGCTCAGCGTAAACAAAGATAAAACGACGGAGATATTGCTTGCGAAAGACGAGAATGTAGAATCCAGTTTTGAGAAAAAGTCATGTCCCATAGAGAATACACGCAAAATGTGAAAAATTGACATGCCTCCTTTAATCGCAAAAAAACGCCATGATACTTTGTCAAAATGAAATTTTGTGGGAACTGCATTTGTAGAGAATATTCTCAGGTAGAACATATCAAAATTTGAAAGAAAATTGATTAATATTTACAGAGATACAATCAATTTTCCAAAAATCTGCTGACGTCATAATATGCAAATTAAAATTATGAGTTTGGAGGCCATTATGATGACGTCATGAGTTAATTGAGGGTCAAATGACACATGAAATCATATCTCCAACTCATGCTTTTTCGAACCATGATATAAAAGTTGGGGTCAATTGACTTTCTGAAGAGGTATTTTGATTTTTAAAATGGGATGTTTTTGATCTAATTTGCATTATATTGCCCATAGCAGCATGCGCAGATTTTGAACTTTGACGCGCGCTCATGGCCTTATGAAAGGTCAAGGGTTACTGAAATTAATGTAAATTGTCATTTACGGTAAGAGGAATCTAAATCATGTAAAAAAATTGAATTTGACCTTTTCCGCGCGTTGTGAGCGCGCGCAACGCGCGCGGGGGACACGTATGGACGGAAAATTTTGAAATGCTTAAAATGACCTGATTCGTACTCTCCTTTAATAGTTTAAGGATTTTGAGCATTTTTAAATTTTGACGCACGCGTACGCGCGCGTCGTGACCTCTATGTGACCTTTGATGACATGACCTGTTGACCCTTGACCTGAAATATATGTGATATGAATATGAATGACCTTTGCTGATGCATCATGAAGATATGATGGATAATGTCATTTCACAAAATGGCGCCTGAATGACGTCACGATGACCTGATGACCTTGAAAAGGTTACTGTCACGTCTCATGACAATGACCAATGACTGTGTCAAAATTGAAAGAAATTAACACAACCGATCTTGAGTTAACCGATGAACAAAAATAGGGGAGAAATAAAAATAAATAATAATAATAATAATAGTAATAATAAAGAAAGAAAATTCTGACGAAAACAATAGGTGATCTGTCATCGACAGACCACCTAATGAGCTGTAAAGGATTTGCCTACATCCATAATCCACTTCTTGTGATGGCCAAGATTAAACTGATTGAATCTTTGCGCAGCATAAAACGTATGACCATTCGGTACAATTGTCTGAAAATCAAGACTATTACTTTTGGGCTCTATAGCCCTAAAGTCGATTTGACAACTAATAGTCGTTATTTTCCCACTTGAAGACATTTTCAAGCCCCACCTTTTTTAGGGAAGTTTTAAATTAGTATTATCTTTCACATGCAGTTGGAATTTAACTTTTTCATTTTTTTGGCCTGCAAATGGGACAGTACCTTTAAATGTAAGAAAAGATGTTTTAATCCCTTTTTACATGATTTAATCTTATCTGGTTCTAAAATTTGTTGCCAGGTTAATGACAAAACATACCATCAATGCAAAATGTAAGATTTCAGCACATTTTCTTCCAGTTTACATGCAACAAAAAAATTTGGGGGGGTTTCCAAGAAGATGGAATTTTAATTCTAGCCTTTCAAATTGGCAGAGGGAGATTTTTGACCTACCGCTGGATGTTCTTTAGGTACAAGTCCTCCTTCTTGCCTGGTATGAAGTTGGGTCCCATGATGCGACATTTCTGGCCAGTGCCGATGGTGCCAGAAAAGACACGACCGAAAGCGAAGAAGCGACCTTTGTCTGTGGTCGGCACCATCTTGGAGACGTACATACAGAGAGGAGCCTTGGGGTCACAGGTCTTGATTCCTGTAAGAAAATAATCACTGAAATAGTTGATCCCATTGCTCCTTCAAAATTTAACAAAAGTATGAAACCTAATGACAACAATTTTTTTGCACTTACTTCAATTCTGGCTTTGGAAATGAACATGAACATGTTTGCTAAGCAAATACACTATTCAAGTCCTTGGATAAACATCCCAGACATTTTATTTGAAAAAGTTAGAAGAGAAAATGTACCCATAGCTACAGGATCATCAAGAGGTCCTTCGTAGAGCATCTCCATACGGTACTTCTGGGCAGTGGCGGGTGACGGCAGATGGATAGTGATCATCTGGAGCATAGTTTCACCAGCTGGCAGCCAGTTGCGCATGATGACCTATATCAAAACAAATTCAGGTATTGATTTAGGGGGCTTGAAAAAAACATGTTTAGTAATAATCATTAATGGTAATGATAATTATCTGGAAATTCCAAGATGTTTCGATCTGGTAGCAAATAATATATCCAAGCATAAAATCACAACAAGTTAACGCAAAGCGTAGCATCCCCTCGATGGGTAATACATAATTAGGTGTTTTTGCATATTTAATGAGCTACGACCTTTCACCTTTGACCTACATACTCGGAAATCGAACTTACAGTATTGCTTGGAATAAAGTTGACAGCCTACCGCCATGTAACGCGCGTGATCAAATTACCGCGGGAACTTATTGAGTACCGCCACTCAAATGGTTCACGCGGTACTCTCACGGTAATGTCACGCGGTAATGTACCGCAGTCGGGAGTCCGTAGTCTCATAAAACACAAGATTCTTGTATGTATAGTCTATCCTTAACACATAAATAAAAATGTGTGTTAATGTGAGAGAGAGAGATGTACGAGGATTTTTTTTATTTTTTATTTGTAATAAATGGAAATTGCTGATTGACTGACTTGATTCCACAAGTTCGCACGTACTGCACATGATGGTTGTTCACCAGACTAGAAAGCGAGGGCTTGGTAGGCTTAGCCAACCAGGCATTGTTTGCTGAAAAAATGCTCTTGGATCATGAGAAATAACGAATTTTGGTAGGATTTCACAATACCATTATTATTTCAGAATAATTGTTGAATATTTGAATCACGAAGAGCCTTTATTTCAAGAGTTAAAAGCAGCCACAAATACACTGAACATTATAATGGTCTAATAAACGTTAACTACCACAGCGTGTTGCCTAGTAACCAACGTCAAGAAACAAACGAATGAATGTAGGTCAGTTCATTCATCGATACGCGAGGGCCTCGCAAGGCACGCAAGTTTGATAATTACATAGGACATGAGTTGTTTATAAAATATCCCCATACCGCTTTGCTCATTCTGGTTTGAAAATACAAACGACCCAACTAAGCATAAACACGCAGCATGCAATTTTTTAGCTACAAATTTATCAATTATTGCATACTTACTGATTCTATGACGTGATCCCACTTTTAGAATATTCATGTTTAACTATAAATCCGAAAATCCAATGGTATAAAAGCTAAAAGTCTAGTTTCGGACACAGGAATTCTATTTTTAAAGCTTATATTCTAAGCAAATAAATGTCCCTTAATTTGGTACCTACGGCAAGCATATGTTATTTATGTTATTTATAAGTTTTTCAATTACATAGTATATCACAAAAAAATACTGGCTACTCGAAATCCTTGATTGAAATGTCGAAAACATCTGCCTCTCTTTGCATAGAAAATCATTCACGGCGCTGGTCCACTATATATGACATCACGTCCGGGACAGAGTATATTCACATACCCGGATGTTCCATTGAAGGCATGTGCAGAGAGATACGATTTTCTGCTTATTTTTGTTTCAAAGGCTGAAAAGTCTAATAAATCATAATTCTTTGTGCAATTCTTTACCTTCTCCTAATGTTCCATAGTATTAATATCAATTCCCCTTTTAAAAATTATGACATATACATGCCAACGATGTGCTATTAGTTGATATTTTCATCATATAATTTTTGTTTTGGTGTTGAAATCGGCCCAGGCTCGGAGTGAGTACAGTAGCTGTCTGGTAAGGACCGTACCCACGCACAGTTCATTACCATACAGCGATCTCCTGATGGTTTCTTCTTCCTATTTCCCATGTCTTTCGCCTTCCTTGGCCCTGAAGATCCTTTATCTTCTTTCATGCTGTGCATTAATTGTGCGATCTACCAATTCTGACACCGGTAGTCAGGAGTAAGTCTTTGTTAGTTGTTTTTCTTAGCTGGTAACATCACTTTCATTCTCTCGCAATTGCCGATAAACATATAACTAGCGCACATACATTCCATCACAAGCAAGCCACGCCTAGAGCAGCGGCCTGGTCTTACCTCCCGATTCTGCTCGCTTCACGAACGTTCGTGCAAGAGCCGCATCACTCGCGGATGAATATTTCGTTCTATCACTAGACGTTGTCAAAATATTATAGAGGAAGCGCGCTTGTACGATCTTGTTCAAGTTTGATATTTTACAACATAAAATGTTTAACTGGTACCGTATCCTTTTTTGAGGCAGTCATACACATATATGATAAGTACTATCATAGTTCTAGGCCTATTCGTTTTACAAAACTGCTCCTGTACCTTATCTGATGACAAGATAATGTATCCGCCTATCCATACGTGCATGATTTAACCTCGTTTCCCAAGCAGTAAACTCGTCTTAAATCTCTACCAAATAGGTGAATATGAGGATATAAAAAGAAATCAGCGACTGGAAAATGTTGCTTCCTTATTCTTCATTCAAATGAAAACAGAAAATCCATCAAATATACTAATTAACAACAACAAATCTAAGCTCTGACAGGATAGCATTTACGTAGGGATACCACTGCCATTCACTCTCACTGAGCCCATGAGTGACCCATAAGACCCAAAAAACAAACATTTTTCAGGGCAATGTGACAAGGGAAATCGGCTCTAACATAACGGGCAAGATCGGGCAGCCACATTTGGTAGCAAATTAAAGCTTAGACATCAGACAAAATGGTGGTATTAAAATTTTAGCGGAACTCCCTGGAAATCTAAACATTTCCTCTGGATTTATAAAAAAATGGATAATAAGTCCATTTTTCAGTGAATTACCTTACAATATATCATGAAGATTGTGTTTATATTAATTTTAACCCACTCATGCAACGAAATGAACTATCACAAATATGTGAGAGCAATTTAATAATAATCCGGTTTTTTATATAGCGCTCAATTCACCGATCCAACGATGTGCCTAAGCGCTTTACAGATATATTATTACCCCGGTCATCGGATTCAGGCTTACCCGCACACAATGTGTGCACATTTTCCACTCCCTGGGGAGCATTCCAGCCAGTCGCCATTTTACAGGCGCACACTTGCTCGTTCAACCACATGAACGTTCGCATCCTACCGGGTACCCATTTAACACCTGGGTGGAGAGTAGCAAGTGCAGGTAAATATCTTGCCAAAGGATATTAGTGCCGTGTCGGGATTCGAACCCTCGACCTTCGTATCTACAGTCAAGCGCCTTAAACCACTCGACCACGACACTCCCTATATCATATCAATAACTTAAGAACTTCATGTTATATTGAAAGATTTATAAAATAAGTTACTTTTGCACTAAAACTGTAGGATTTTGCTGTTTGAAAGAGTAAATGTATATCCTTATTGTGCATATCGGATTGAAAATATTTTACTGAGGTATTCCTCAAAGTATTACCTTTCAACTGGGCAAGAACAAATTTGGAAAAAAAAAAATCACCAAAAATGAGTTTTGGCGCACTTTGGTTCCTCCCTGGCCCACTGTGCGCCGGTTCCAAGATTTTTTCTGACTTGTTTTTCAATACAGATCGATCAATCAATCTTATTTACTGGGTGTAAGCCTCAAATATGTAAAAATAATACTAAAGTTATGGATCGGAAACCAGATTCGCTTATTTAATGAGCTTTGACCTACATACTCGGAAAAACACTTTTAAAACACAGCCCTAGACCTTAGATTGTGAACCTTGACAGCATCAAAAAACATGGAGGTCCCTATGATACCTATCTTGCACCTATGTTGCTTCACTATTATTAACATCAGGGGTGATAGTGAGCACTAAAAAAAAATATAGGTCGGTTTTTTTCCCCCTCAACCACATCTCCCCCCCCCCCCCCCCCCCCCCTTTTGAGTAAGAAAATTGGGGGGAAAATGGGGGGAAAATAGAGAAAATAAGGTTAAAATTGGGGAAAACCAGGATAAAATCAGGAAGAAAGGGAGAAAAAAAAAAAATTGGAAGAAAAAAGAAGAGAAAAAAACCGATTTAAATCTGGTTTTTATCAGGCCTGTAACATGAGGAAGAAATGGCTACAACTGACCTTGATAAGAGGCTTGCCCTCGAGATCTTTTTCCTCAGTTTTGAGATGCACCTTCAGCTTCTCAAGCAGTTTTCAGTCTCGGGCTTCTTGAAGTTCATGACTGCATCAAACATCTACATGTACAAAACAAAACACATTTCACGTATGAAACAACCGTAATGAGGTCATGCAAAAAGCTCCCAACCTCCTCTATTTATCTGCCCCTGTAATATCCTTATAATACAAAGTTGGTGAAAATATCCTGCTCAACATTGACTTCTTCACAGACTGGCATTCAAGGAATACAGAATCTAGGCATCTCATTGAAGGAAAATGGATTTGGCAATACCTTATTACATCTATTAGTGGATACCGTGCGCAGTCTCTACATTTATCTGTATCTGCCATTAGGCACTCATGTACACAGAGCTGCCAACCTTGTGCGACCAAAAAAAGGAATCATGATGGCAAAAAAAAAAGAATTTCAAGCAAAAAAAGGAATTCATAAATTCATAAAATCGAAACTTACAACCACGCGCGACACAATTCTAATGCAGAAATGTTCATTCATCGTGCTGTTTTTTTCCATACAAGCAGGAATTTTTTTTGGTGGTTATTTTGGTATTATTGGCATTTCATTCTTTTTGAGAATATTTTTCTTTTCAAGTATGTTTTAAATTTAGTTTTCTGTTGAATTTGTGATCAAATCACCATTTTAGGGCAGTTGTTTGACGTGCGTTACGTAAAAAAAACAAAAACAAACAAGAGTAATTCTGGTAAAAACGGAATGGTTGGCAGCTCTGTGTACACGCATGCGTACTGGTGCTGCCAATGACAAGACTGTTGTGAACAAAGAAATCTAAATTTGGCAACATACTTCATTATTACTACATTATCTCCCTTCCAGGTTTTTTTTCCCTCTCTTGTTTCGTGTTTATTCTCATAAGACAACAAATCTTGAATCTAGAACTCTTCAGTATCTAAAATTGAAAAATGGATTAGGTTTGGATTTATGTCTCCAAATTACACTGATGAAATTCATCCAGCTAAGAAGTCTCATGTTTTTGAAAGGAATATATCATTTTTTAAGCCCTCAACCGTACCTTGTAGATAGGGTCCAAGACAAACTGGTTGAAACCACGAACATAGCCTTCACCTCCAGTCTTGTTCCATTTCTTCTCTTTGGGGTTGAAGAATTGGTCACCCCAGAGTCTCTTCATGAGCTTGGCTGGCTCGATCTTAAACTTGGAAGCGTAGATCTCAGCAAACTGCTTCAGTGTGAACGCCCAGCCATGGAGCCCAGATCCAAATCCAACGGTTCCCCTTGATGGTGCAACCTGTTACATAAGCAAACAAGCCATTGAAAATTGAATAAACCATAGTATATTTTGTTAAGGGCAGGGAACATCAAAGTGTCAACCTTCACAAGAAAAAAATAGAAAGTTTCTGAAGGTATGCATAAGGATCCGGATATTTTGTATAGTACTTCTACACAGAATGTAGCAGAAAAGAATTTGCTTCTCCTCTGATCATCCTTATCCTAACATAATTAATCAAAGGTTAATTAATACAATGCAAAAAAATGTGCAAGGGTTTGATGGTGTGACCTCTTTATAAGCTTTCATTTTATGCCCAATTGAAGAAAATGGGTACATGTAATGTGTTAAACGATTACGTTACAGAAACACATTCAGCATTTTCTAGTCACGTACCAACCCAGTACAAACATATGGCAACCTGCAATATCGTTGCGGAACAAAGCAGATGGTCTTTAACCCTCTTTTAACTGGGCTATTTCAGACCAGGTTTTTAATGGGGGGGGGGGGGGGGGGGGGGGGGTCGATTTGCATACATGTCAAGTGAAGTGTATTGAATACTATGGTAATTTCATTTTTTGAAAAATTCACTCATTTGCATATTTCTGGTAATTTATGCAAATAAGGTCATAAAATTTACATTTTTGCCCATAAATCATAGATTATTCATATTTAAGCATTCTTTTTCACTACATATATTTGTTAGACCATTTGGAATAATAATAAAACACAAAAATTGAAAGAGCCAGGTTATTCCTTATGTTATCTCTTGTTTTGATAATTTCTAATGTATTTCACTGTTTTTTAAACTTATGTATTTTATTGTTTTTGTTGTTTTATTTCATTAATAACTACAATTCAACTATTTTGACCCCAAAACAAACACCTAAACTTCAAACAAGACTAAATAACCAATGTTTTATCTCTTTTTAGGAAAAATGACATTTCCATATGTTTTGTACACAAATCACAAAAATGAGCGATTTTGGGCTGACATGCAAAGAAAAAAGTTCATGCGACTTTGTAACTATATGTCCGATTTTCGAAAAAATTGTTTTAAAAGATGCGTAAGACTTGAAAGCAAAAAGTCATGAAAGGATTTTTTTTTATATCTGCCGCGGTTTCGTAGTAGTCGCAAAATTTCTACAGGGGAGGGGGTCAAGTTGACCCCCCCCCCCAAGTTAACATAGGGTTAAAATTTCCAGTCCTTTAGTTGTTGTTTTCTACTCTTCTTTTCATTCTTTTTTCATGATGCATTGCTTAGATCAACTTATACCAACCTGGATGTTACCCATAGGTCCATCCTCGTCAGCATAGGTGGCAACAATCACATTGATACTCTCAACGATCCTCTGGAAGGTTTGGTAGAGATCTTCCATCTCCAGCTGAAGCTCCAGAAGAGCACGGTCCATCTTGTTCATGAACACAACTGGCTTGATGCGCTCAGCAATGGCTTGTCGGAGGACAGTCTCTGTCTGCACACAGACACCTACATGTGGAAAACAGACAAAACTCTTGTGGAATGCACTGGCACTACTTGAGCAAAACTGGAAACCATAATGACTTGTCCGTATTTAATAGAACTGCTAAATTTGGAACATTTCTTATTTGAAAAAAATTCAAGATTTCTACTAGTGATTTTTTTTTTTATGTATTTTCTATTTAAATTGAAAATTTAATTTACATATTTCTTTTTGCTGCTGGTATTTGTTTTATTCTTACCAAAAAGGGCCTTATGGAATTTTTGGTGATATGTGCTACCCTCTGTAAATATCAGAAATAAAATAAATTTAAAACTAGATGGACCTTCAACCGCGCGCAGTCGAAAATGATGCCTCCGCCATGGAGCAATTTTACAAGCGAAAACAATAGCGAGCTATTTTTGCATACTTAATGAGCCCTGTGACCTTGATATTTGACGTTGTTACCCCAAAATCTAATCAGTTCATTGGCTCTGCAAGGTACATACATGATCCAAGTTTGGCTGGAATCCATCAATGGGTTCTTGAGATAACACGATCACAAGCTATTTTTACACACATAATGAGTCCTGTGACCTTTGACCTTGGATCTTGCGACCCCAAAATCTAATCAGTTCATTGGCTCTGCAAAATACATACATGACCCAAATTTGGCGGGAATCCATCAATTTGTTCTTGAGATACGCGATCACGAGAACGGGAAGTACGGAAATACAGACGTACGGACATACAGACGTACGTACGGACGGACGGACAGCCCGAAAACATAATGCCTCCGGCTACTTTGTAGCAGAGGCATAAAAATAAATACTAAACCTAATCTACAAAACTGACAAGTTTCCCAAATTCCTTACCACTGACACAATCCACAACAACCAAAGCTCCATCAGTTACACGCAGAGCAGCTGTCACCTCAGACGAAAAGTCAACATGGCCTGGGGAATCGATGAGGTTGATCAAGAAACCACGCTCGTTCACGTCCTTTTCCTGTTCGATGAATGTCATGTCCTTGTCACTCAGCTCGTAGTACATGGAGATGGCTCTGAAGAAAAAGACAAAAAAAGGAGACATTTTCAGCATTTGATAATTGATGGCCAGCAATATCAACAAGAGTTCCGCGGAGCTTACACTCACATGAGCCGATGAAAGTAATGGCCTCACATTAAGGTACCTAGCTCCCATCTCCTTCAGACCAGGAACAGAAGGGCGTTTTAGGGGTGTTGCTCCCAAGTTTGTGGGCACACATTTTTTTTCTCATTGTCATTCAATCTCCTCATCATTATTTCATTGATCAGCGATCAAAATCTATCGCTCAATTTTAGAAAAAAATGCAGGGATAGGCCCTCGATTCGATTCTTAAATATAAGGTGAGGGTAAAGAACCTTTTTGTTTGCAGTATTGGCCAAAAATGTTGAATAGGGTCAGGAGTCTCAGGACACAAAAAGAGAATCCCTGCTACAGCTACATGTTGATACTTACGTCGACTTGATGGTAATACAGCGCTCCTGCTCATCTTTCCTGGTGTCGGTGAAGCGTGCCTCTCCTGCCTTGGATTGAGCAATGATACCGGCCTTGCTCACCAAGGAGTCGGTCAGGGTAGACTTGCCATGGTCGACATGAGCGATGACAGACATGTTCCTGATGTTCGTCTTCTTGTCCATGATCGCACGGATCTGATCTGTAGTGAAGTTCACCTAATAAAAGAAGGCAGTCATAAAATAGGGGGAAAAAGTTCAGTTGAAAGTTCACAAATCAACTGACCTCTGAATATTGGTCTTGAGTAAGGGAGGGGGTTTTCACACAAATATTACATGAAAATAAGAGTCACCATGGCAATTTTAATTTTCCTTTCCATTGTCTTGGCAGTTTCAGCATGGCCATGGTGCTTTCACCCTGACCTTACAACATACAGAGAGATATCTGGTGGACTGGCAAAAACAAAACAAAATGACGTAACTTTGAATTCGGAACAGAAATAAATAATGACGCAAACTACAAATGTATATCAGTGCACTTTGGCTTCAAGACAGCCAGAGGTCATAGTTTTGGAATGTTAATCACATTTTTAGTTCAATCGTTAGGAACACGTGAAAGATTTGTTTACATCCCTCTTTACGCAGGGGTGCGGGTGCCAATTAAGACTAGGTGACATCAACATCATATTTAATATCATCACCTAGCCCTAATTGGCTAGGTCAGGCATGGTTAATCATGATTACATAAAATAGCTTGTGCACAGTTTTTCAGTTATAATCATTTTGCCTTTGGCGTAGACAAGAAGGGATGAGATTTAGATGACGTCATGCGCAGCGAGAGTTTACACCACCGCTGCAAGAGTTTTATCATGGATGTCGACTTTGACCCTTAATTTCCTAAAAATGGACCATTAAACGGATTATTTCAGTCAAGTTGGTAAGTGGAACGAGATACCTATACCTAATTTACAATATAAAAAGCAGCGGATATGCATGCTGTGAAAGGAGTAATTTGGGGATAAGTTTTGCAAGTTTGGTGTATTGATTTACACACCTCACCTACACATTTGCCGGTATAGTCCGTTTCTGTCTCTAAAGAGAGAGCCGACCCTACCCAAATAAGAGGCTTAACGAACGAAAGAGACGGAAAATTTGATCTATAGCGGGCAGAGCAGGTATCCCACGCCGGAGCTCCCCGGTTGTTCGCCCTGTCGAAAACTAGCTCTGCATTGATCGGAAATTGGAATCTGAATTAGACAGAGATATCGTGCGTGCGTTGCGGTGTCCGTCAGACTTCTTGTATGGTTTATGGTATCGCGCATACAAGAAGTCTGCATAATTTTGGACTGATAGCTTCAGTGTGAGGTGCAGGACTAAGGCGTAGAGACGGTACTGAGCGACGACGTCTACATCGACGCCCTAAACGAAGGTTTCCCGATGTCGGATGTAATCCAAATTCAGGTGGAAAATGCAATAGAGTAAAGGAGCCGGTAATCGGCCAGCTCCAGTTTTCGGCCGATTGGTTGGATGCAAGGTAAAATCACTATAAAATACATCGCATAATAGCATAACACATATCCCACACATACCATACCATGCCAGTGTCACTGAAGAACCACATTTGCAATGAAAAATATATCCTAAAATATCATATTTTAGCGATGTAATCGCCGGTCCCGCTACCCAAATCTGAAAAATCGAGTATCTTACGCGTGTCTGTAAGAAATATGGGTACCATAAAATGAGCTTTATTTCAAGTATTTTCAGATTTAGAGCCCGATTTTGTGCTAGTCGCAAGCTCAAAAGTATCTCATCGCATGTATTAAATCAATGCAGGGATGCCAACCTTTCAGAGCACAAATCCGTAATCATAAGGCTAAAATTCCGTAATTTGGAGACAAAATCCGTAATTTTCTGCGCGACGCAAATTTTTCTGCACGCTGGCAGGCGCAGCTCCCGCAGGCAAGCGCGATAGCACAACAAGTTAAATAAAAGTAACATAGTCTACCTGTTCATTAGTTGGTGTTACACGATGCATTTCCATTTCTTACTGTATTCTTCTTTAAAAGTCTGTAACTTCTTGCCACGCTTCTTAGTTGTGGAAGACATGATGATTGATATCTAAATCCAACCAACATGAGTTCAGATTGTCGACGAAAATCGACGAACGCTGTGACAGCCTGTGAGAAATCCGACAGTGTACACGGCGCTAACGTAGCGAGGCCTGGCGCTGGGCATGGGCGGGCGGTAGCGGCGCGGCCAAGAGAGGTATTTCACCCGGCCCCCGCTCGCGAAGCACATGTTGTATGCACATGTATGCACTGAAAGGGGTGTGCTAGATAACAAATTGTCCAATCGGAAGCCATGTGGGATTTCTATGCATGGATTCAAGGATGGCTGCGCTGCAATAGTCAAAAGTACGTGCTAAACCTTAAACGTGCTAAACCTTAAAGTGCTAATTTTGAAAATCGGCAAAATCGGCAAAATCCGGAATTTATGGTATGAAATCGTACCGCCCGTAATCGGCCGATTTCCCGTAGAAATTACGGGAAATCCGTACTAGTTGGCATCTCTGTCAATGCAGCCGCACACCGCGACGCACACACGATATCTCTGTCTAATTCAGATTCCAACTTCCGATCACCGCTGTGCCTGTCTTCGGCCAGGCGAGCACCAGGGAGCTCCGGCGTGGGATACCTGCTCCGCCCGCTTGTGCTGTACATCAGCGCGGAAACGCACGGCGCGCGCGAGCGCTTCCTATTGACTTTGTACATGCGGCCGTAAACTGAAACGCTCGGCCGATAACTGGCTCCAAAACAGTGAAAATTGAAATGAATATTGTCATGGCAATTCGTGATTTTTTTCTGGATTCTTTTTTTTGTTTAAATAATAATAATATTTGCTTCATGATTTGAACAAGAAATGATAATAAATAGGAAGTAAAGAGTCCTAAAAATAGGATTTTGTCTTAAGTGGCCGAAAACGGGCTCCTTTACTCTATATGATTATGATTAAAATTAGTAAACAATTGGGCTAAAAATTCCTTTGCTAAGAATGGATATTAAACTGCTAAAAAATGGATACGGAACTACACTAGCGCCCTGATTACCCCCTCCTTTACTCTATGCAGATCGTCTCAGAATATAAACATCCTTCTTCACCCCATTTCAATAGAACCCATTTTGGGGGCATCATAAATGTAAAGAGCAACGTTAAGATCATAGAAAGACAACAAATCTAAAATGATTTGTCATCAAAATGGACACTGGCATTACATCATAGATCTACATGTCATTGTACATATTACCAGCTGCATACATGTCGACGACATTATCCCACATACTATACTGTACACGTTCATTCATTCAATCATTCACTTCACAATTCAGAGTCGACGTAGTAAATTAAAAACGAATATTTCATCATTTCTTCTGTCGCAAACGAAGAATTTACAGTCTAGTCCTCATCTTAGGTATATAAATACTATAGATTTTTAAAGATTTTGTATCGATGGAACTTACCATTTTGGATATTTGCTCTGTTTCTCCCACCAGATGTCTACAAAAATGTTACTCGGTTTACGCCGGTAACTGAAAAGGGTGCAACGTAGCGAGTGCGCGTTGTTCATATATGAACGGGCACGTCACGGGGCGAGCGAGATATACAGTACAGTACATGCGTACAGTACACGTGAACTGTTTGGTAGCCTACGTACGTACGTGTGTGGGAGTGCGATGTGTAAATTGACTCTAGTATCTTTTCATTAACGTACTACACAATACATAGACCGTTATTAATTCACAAAATAGATGACAAAAACGACAAGTGACAAGTATAAGATTGCGCAACTTCCGTGACACACAGACGTCATAACCGCGAGATGATGTCGCAATATCCTTTGTTGTCGCAATATCCTTTGTTGTTGTATATGTCGCATTTAATTGATCGTAATAATTTTTCGACAATAAAACAAAATAACAGACTTATATCATTCCAATTCAAAATATTTGATGACCTAGTTTATACAAATGAAATAATTATAAATAATTTATGTTGCTTTTGCCAGAAAGTGACCGAGTATATACAGTTATGAACATTTATTCTAGTATATGTATATATATATATATGTGAGAAAAAAGAAGAAAAAAAAAACACTTTGGGAAGAAAATTGTGACACTTTTTAATTTGGTAAAAGAACGTAGACTGGAAAGGGGTTCATATTAAAATAGAATGGTCAACAGTGAGTGAAAAAGTTGTATGAAATAAAAAATAAAAAATAAAAAAAAAGTTTTTAACAGCAAAAATAAAATTGAAGCCCCTATACTCCTCAAGATATGAAGGAAAAGTATTAGAAAATAAACAAGAAGACCTAAAGTTAGCTGAATAGAGAGGAAATTACGTAATCATTTTGGGAAATGGGACAATCTTCTTTGATGGGGGGGGGGGGGGAACCGACCGAACACCCCCCCCCCCCCAGTGGCGGATCCAGCGGCGGCAAGAAGAGGGGGGGGGGGGCCAAATCTTGAGAAAATATTTAGCGGCGAATCAGCCAGCCGGTGAACGGCGAATAAGCGGGGGGGGGGGGGGGGGGTGTAAGAGCATTTTTTTTTGCTTGGGTCCAGTTTTGAGGGATTTTTTTTTTCGCCGACTCAGCCGGTCGGTGACTAAGCGGGGGATGCTGTAGAGGAGGACCACTAATTTCGTGGGGGGGGGGGGGGGCATTTTTTTGGGGGGGCCACTTTTTTTTCTTTTTTTTTTAAAGGTAAAATTACGTTAGTATCCTATTTTTGTACCGTTTTGACGGGGCTAGGGGGCCGGGCGGTAAAAACGGCCCGTGGATCCGCGCCTGCCCCCCCCCCCTATATCCGCCCCTGGACATGGTACCTTTACAAAATATGATAGAATATAACATTGCTCAACATTCGTGTCACACAGACGTCAAAATTGTGAGATGATGTCGTTGTTGTATGCATGTCGCAGTTGATCCGTTATTTTCGACACTAAAAACGAAATAGCAGCTAAACTCATATAATTCCAATTCACTTTATAACCTAGTTTATAGAATTAGGCCTACATAATGAGTATATTAAATAATTTATGTTACTTTTGTCAGAAAGTGGACCGTCCGTTAGGGATTTTCACAACTTTCGGGGTTCGCCATGCAAAACCCATAATAATTATTAGTGATATTTTTTTTTTTAAAAAATACCGGGGACCCAATTTAGGTGTGTTTTTGTGAACAAAATTACCGTTAGAGCGGCACATGGGCCCGTAAGTCTGAATATGTGAGCACCCTCCCCCCCCCCCCCCACCCCCCCCCCCCCCCCCCCCCCCCGGGCCCCCCCCCCCCCTTCCCGGCCCCGGAGTGGAGGAAACATTATGATTATGAACATTTATTCTTTCCATGTGGAAAAAAAAAAATCTGTTGGGGAAAAGACAGTGGCACTTTTTAATTTGGTAATATCAATTTCAATGATTTCATGACTCTATCAAAATACACCGAAGAAAAAACAAGCAATAGAATTTGCCTTATGTAAACAAAGGTGTAACCAACGCTTGCCCGCGTATGCCATTCATCTGTTGGAGAAATCCACTCAGTGGGCGAGCGTCGGCCGAAACCTTATCCGCAATCGCATGGGCATGTGCTTTGATTTGGGTTCGCTCATGATCACGCATATACACATAACATCCAGGCGCGGATCCAGGGGGGGGGGCGAACGGCCCCCCCCCCCCCCCCCCCCCCCCCCGCAAAAGAGAGAGAGAGAGAGAGAGAGAGAGAGAGAGAGAGAGAGAGAGAGAGAGAGAGAGAGAAGGAAAAGAAGGGAAAGAGGAGAGAAGGGGAAAGAAAGAAGAGAAAAGAAGAAAAGAAAAGGGTGAAAAGAAGGGGAGAACAGATGCGATTTCTTTTTTCTTTTTTCTTTTCAATTTCATTTTATTGTTCATATTTCACATTTTACAATCTTAATTTACAACATATTAATGCACTCAGGTTCAGGTAATTTAGTGTAGGCACAAAGGAAATACATCAAATGAAGTTATATACATGCCTTTGACTAGTTCACGACAAACCATTTACTTATAAAACATTTAAATTACTATACCACGCAATTGCTATTGGTGATTTGTTTGCGATACAAACGTAGGACTTAATATAGAATTATAAAGTCAAATTTTTAAAAATGTATATATAAAAAAAATATAAAAGTATTTGCATATACAGCAAACATTGACTGTGACTTTTTATCCGCTGTGACGACTTCGAGAGTGACTGCAACTAGTACTACAATACTTATATTTTCTCGAAGTTTCACTTTCCTATAATATCAGGTAAAGAAATCAGAGGTTTAAAATTTTCAGGGAAACTAAATTCAAACAAGGATTAAGAGCCAACAACGGTACAACGAATCGTCTTCCTTCTCTATATTTTGACGAAACGCCAAAATTTCCGCGCTTCGCGAGGTAGGGGAAAACTTAATTTTGACGAGTCGAGAACGGTACAACGAATCGTCTAGTTTCTCTCATAATTTAAGGAAACGTCAAAGCTTCCGCGCTACGCGCAAGAGGGGGAAGCTGAATTCAGACAAAGAGGGTTTATTAAGAGTCAAAAACGGTACAACGAATTGTCTGCTTTCTCTATCAATTAAGGAAACGTCAAAGCTTTGCGTCCTTCGCGCTGGAAGGGGGAAACTGAATTCAGACAAGGATTAAGAGTCGAAAACGGTACAACGAATCGTCTGCTTTCTCTAATAATTTAATGAAACGTTAAAACTTCCGCGCTTCTCACGGGAGGGGAAAACTTCATTCAGACAAGGATTAAGACTCGAGCACGATCGCGAATCGTCTACTTCCTCTAATAATTTAATGAAACGTCAAAACTTCCGCGCTCAGCACGGGAGGGAGGAAAACTGAATTCAGATAAGGATTAAGAGTCGAGAACAGTAGGCCGACACCGAATCGTCTGCTTTTTCTCATAATTTAATGATACGTCAAAGCTTCCGCGCTTCGCGCGGGAGGGAAAAAACTGAATTCAGACAAGGATTAAGAGTCCAGCACTGTTCAACGAATCGTCTACTTTCTCTAATAATTTAATGAAATGCCATAACTTCCGCGCTTCGCGCGGGAGGGGGAGAACTGAATTCAGATAAGAGTAAGATGAATTCAGATAAGGATTAAGAGTCGACATCAGTACACCGGATCGTCTGCTTTTTCTCATAATTTTAAAAAATGTCAAAGCTTCCGCGATTCGCGCGGGAGGGGAGAACTGAATTCAGATAAGGATTAACATCGAGAACGGTACAGCAAATCCTCTACTTTTTATAATAATTTAATGAAACGTCAAAGTTTTCGCGCTTTGCGCGGGAGGAGGGGGGGAGGGAACTTCATTCAGACAAGGATTAACAGTCGAGATCGGTACAACAAGACGTCTTCTTTTCCTAATAATAGTACTGAAAAATAAGGAAACGTCTAAGCTTCCGCGCTTCGCGCGGGAGGCCTTACACCGACACTCCCCTAATGAGCGCGCTTCGCGTGCTCTTTAAGTGATTTGCTTGCTCACAACCGACCCTCCCTAAAATGAGATCCTAGCTCCGCGCCTGCATTAAAATATATAGCTATGATGTTGACTAAGTTGACGAAATAATTCGTATATTTATGTCGTCGAGGAAAATGATCATTTGCGCATACGAAAGTACTATAGATAGTCCATAGGAAAAACAATTTAGCCTTCGGCCCAGGGTTTATAGGGTTAAATTTGTAGATATTGGGACATTTAATTTTGTCGGTAATTGGTGGCCTCCCCCCCCCCCCTCCCCCCTCACTGAAAAAGGTCTAGCGACGCCCCTGGGTCTAGTGGATACGTCACCTGACTCAGTGGCGGATCCAGGGGGGGGGCCTTAGAAAAAACCATTTTTTTTTTTAGCTTTTTGGGGGGATGGCCCCCCCCCCCCTGGAGCTCAAGGGGGGGGGGTGTAAATTTTCAAATTTTCGAGGGCCAAAAAAAAAATGTGCTCACTACCCCCCCCCCCCCCCCCCCCTCCCCCATATCCATATTATTATCCTTTACTACCTTTTCAGAAAATATTGGAGAATAAAGAACGAACCCTGAAGGCCAACAAAACCGCCGCCTCCCCCCCCCCCCCCCCCCCCAAAAAAAAAAAAAAAAATTGTTCACAAATTTGCTCTCCCCCATCTCCCTCCTCACTCTCTCATTATAAATCTATTTATATTTTTTTCTCCTCTCTCTCTCTCTCTCTCTCTCTTTCTATCTCTCTCTAACTCTCTTTATATTCCTCTTTTTCTCCCCCCCCCCCCTCCTCTCTCTCTCTCTCTCTCTCTCTCTCTCTCTCTCTATTTATATGATTCTCTCTCTCTCTCTGTATCTCTCTTTATATCCCTCTCAATTTTTCCTCTCACTTTCTCTGTCGCCAGACCGATTTCAATTGTTTCAGGTAGTGATAAAGCAAACTAATCCTCACTTAAACCAATAGCTTTGATATTTTTCAAAACAGATACAAAACATACACAGAATCAATCTTCACTGCATTGTGAATGACATCGTTTATTATGATGTTCATCTCAGAGACCTACCTGTAGATCAGGTTTAACATAATGTTGAATCTAATCCTATCACAATTTCTTTCATAACCCACCCACACAGAGGTGGTAAAGTGTGTTATCGCATTAACACTCTTTTATCTTTTAAGATCTCAATGTCTAGTAAAGGTTTTAGGAGATACATTTCGGTATGAACATTTCTTTTGGAAAGGGTGATTGGAACCTCTTAAACCTTTCACTTTTACAGTTTGTCTAAAAAACACTCATTTGTCAAGATGATACTTGCATCACTCTTTCCCAAAGTATTATAGTGTATTTTTTTATATGGGCATAATGTTGAATAAAGACCCCATTGCATAAAACTTACTAATGATGGTAACTTCCATGGGAGCCTTGATTTGAGCGGCTGTTGAGTGATGTTGCCATGGTAGTTAAAAAATTGATGGCCAGTTTGCCATCAATGGTAAGTTTTATGCAATGAGCCCTGGGTCAGACCTTACTGGATATCTAAAACAAAAATATTATAATCATTCCCAAATCACTTCTCTGTTTTTAATGTGAAAAAAGAATTGGAAATCACTGTTTTATAAGTGTCATCAAAAGTATTGCACTTCAAATTTCTTATTCCACTCAAATAAGTTAGTGTGCATAGGACCTTTGTTGTGTGTGGCAGCTTTTTCCATCCTCACTTTTCACTCATTTCATACACGAAAATTGCTGTGGTTAAACTGGGGCCGTTTGCCACAGCATATGTGAACGTGCCCTTATGTTCTTCCTCTTGCATCTTGATATATCGAGGAATTCACTTCATAGGAGTTCACATATGATGTCCTGTTATAACCTTCCCATTGCTTCTTGGTATATGGTGGAATTCATAGGAGTTCACATATGATGTCCTGTTATAACCTTCCCATTGCTTCTTGGTATATGGTGGGATTCATAGGAGTTCACATATGATGTCCTGTTATAACCTTCCCATTGCTTCTTGGTATATGGTGGAATTCATAGGAGTTCGCATATGATGTCCTGTTATAATCTTCCTCTTGCATCTCGGTATATGAAGGAACTCATAGAAGTTCATATAAGATGTCCTGTTATAATCTCCCTTCTGCTTCTTGAAGTATGAAAGAGTTAAGGACAAAGACTGTTTTATCCGTCTGCAATTCACTCTGTTCTAACCTGTGGAAGCATAAAAATAATATGAATAAAAAGAAAATCATGAATCAATACCAGAAAAAAGAAATAAATAAAAAGAGCATTAATTCATAAACTGCCAGTTTTAAGATAAAAGGATCATATAATCCATTCCTGGGTATTCCTGATAAGATAATGTATTTCATATTTCTTTTCACTTTTTTATCTTGCGACAATAGCTTAACCATGAATTTTTTATATATATTAGTTAAATTTTAATAATTCAGGATGAAATGCTATATTTTAATCCTAGAAAAATAATCTGATAATCACCGCAACCCAAACACTAACCCTACATCTTCAATGATATAAAGCCTGGAGCAAATATCACAAGAATTACAAAGGACAGCTGATCCAATATTTCTTCCTGGCTTTATTTGGTAAAAGATAAAGGTTAGGGATTGGATTGCTGTTGGGTTTTGGGCTAGGTTTTCAGTTATGATTACTGATGGGTATCCCGTCTTGCTCAGGGGTACATTTTGGAATTCAGTTGCTATAGGAATCATCCAGTATAACATGCAAACTTATTATGCCATATTTTCTGTCTACTTTAGTTTGGTATCCCAACAAGACCACTGCACAGAGGAGAGATTGTTTTCAACCCAGTTTAGGGACCCTTTCATATGAATGTTAATGGAACTGAACTCACTTAGCTATCCTTCCTTTGTATTTCTGGAGTTGTTCTTTCTCTAGCTGTGTCATCGTCTTCTCGATCTCTTCTAGCTGAGCAGGTTCTGCTCCTGATCCTTGCATGGAGGCTGTGATGGCCTCCACCTTCTGCTCCTTCTCAATCAATCGTCTGCATTAATAAAAAAGACATTCTTAAATGTCTCTACGTTGCCAATTTTCCTGTGCCCATATTCACTGGATTATTATTTACCTTTTGCCACAATTTGAGAATTATTTTCACTGATCTTGAAGGGGGAAAACATTTTCCTCTACATTACTAATTTACAATTATATGTATGAAATAAATCAAGATGCTAAATTGACATTTGACCTTTGAACTGTTCATACCCCATTCACACCAACAAGACAGACACCATACCAACAACTGACCCCCCCCCCCAAAAAAAAAAAAAATAATAATAATAATAATAAAATAAAATAATAATAATAATAATAATAATAATAACAATAATAATAATAATAATATCAATAATAATAATAATAATAATAATAATGATAATGATAATGATAATGATAATGATAATGATAATGATGATAATGATAATGATAATGATAATGATAATGATAATAATAATAATAATGATAATGATAATGATAATGATAATGATAATAATAATAATAATAATAATAATAAATTAATAAATTAATTAATAATAATAATAATAATAATAATGAATAAATAAATAAATAAATACATTGCCGGTACCCAAAAGGATATAAATCTGTCGGTCTGGAATCGATAGTCAGTGACTGGGGTATTACTTACAAATCTTATCTTATATCTTATACAAAGTTTGAAGTTCATGCCTCTGGTCATTCTTTTTACTCCATTAAAGATGATGCATACCAGTACAAATCATAAGTTTTTCCATCAAAGAGGTCATTAAAAATTGAAAAAACATTAAAATAGCACAGTAGATACACCTGCCACTAAGCAGGCTTTAAACCTTTTTGTGATACAGGGTACCGTTACTTCATTTTTTTTATTAAACCTTCTGCTCAATCAAATTTAATGGATAAAAATGGTCATAGTCTGATGCAAAATAATCCTGGAGAGTTCCACAAAGATTAAGATCGACTTAGGTTGGACTGTGGCAGGGCCTCAAGCATAGTGTATTTGAGGAGGAATACTGTGTCATGCCGGAATGGGAATTGCTAGACTTGCTTGTTTCAGCCATCTTATAATTGTCGTCAGATTGATCACAACTTTCATAAAACATCCATAACAATTTGCACATCAAAAAGTTTTCGTAATTTGTGACTTCATATGTACATATTTTTATTCTTCAGGTTGTCTACCAGTTCGTGCCTGAACGAGGAGGGTTCAGTCTATCTGCCAGTGAGACTCACTTGTTTTCAGCCGATTCAAAATGGCGTCTTGTCATGAGGTTGATCAAGGACTTATAACACCTCTCTGCCAGCATAAAGGTCACCTGACCAAGCTCAACGGTGAAGAGGTAGAAGGTCCTTGACGGGGCGTGATCAGGCGTACGAGGAATCTCTTGAACGGTTATAAAATTCTCAGCAAACATCTGATACACAAGCTCCTTGGCTTCTTTGGCAGGAATTAAAGCAAAGTTTTCAATCTGAAATACAAATAATATTAAACTGTATCAGATTTTTGAATTATATTAAATGTAATTGTATTAACTGGGCCCCTCTTATAAACAGTTATGAGAGATCTGGATTGATAAAAAGTCCTCCAATCAACTTGCAAAACTCCTATCTTTCAATATTCTTTCATTCTTTAATCATAATTTTATTTAATTACAAAAATGCCTTTTCCCTCATAGTGCGGTATGGTATGTAATCCTGTAGGATTTTTTTGCCAAAGTTGATTTTTTGTTTGTTGCTGTTTTGGCTTCAAAAGGGTCCCAATTGGCCAAAAATGATGGGGATCAAATTTTCAGACCCCTCCTTCATTTCCTGGGGGGGTCCATATTGGGCGCCAAAATGGCATAAATAACGCGCAATAGGGAAATTTGGTGTCTTCGGGAAAATTGAACCCCATCAATTTCTGATAGCTTGGACCCCAATGAATCCAAAAATGCAAAAAAAAATCAACTTAATTTGGCACAAAAATCCTACAGGAGCCGTTTCAGTGACATACCGTACCACACTATCAGGGCAGTAATCAAGATACACAAATATTTTGGAGAGCATGTTCTTAAAATCACTCAGTCATAACTATTTTCACTCTGACATTTCTTTCAGTCAATTTTTTCTGTTGGAACAACTAATATGAATGTTGGAAAGTGTTCAAGGCACTCAAAGTTACCCTAACTACCGTATTTGCCGGCGTAAAGGCCGCAGTATTTTTGGAAGAGAAAATATCAAAAAGTCGGGGTGCGGCCTTTACGACGAAAGAGTAAAAAAAAAAAAAAAAAACGAAAGTCAAAACCAACACGAATTTGCACGTACAGTAAACAGTAAATACAGTAAAATAACAATACCACTATGGTACAGGACATTTCCAAACATCTTACCGACAATTTTATCTTGCATTGTTGACATGAAGATGAAAATAAACGTCCTAACACAACATTTGCCGATAGATCTTGATCTAAGTTCGTGCCAATGCATTGCAAAGGTAAAGGAAGGGACAGTCTAACGGAGCTGCCGCAAACATCCATCCGAAGTCGCCATTTTGTTTTTCCATTTCATGCAGTTTCGCATTACACCCTACATTGTGGTAGGGGTATATCGGACACCAAATCTGCCTGCGATCACTTTTTTAGCTAATGTTGTAAATTGGAATTTATGTTGTAAATTAAATAGGAATTATGTGGTGCAAAGATGCCCCCCCCCCTTGCTTCTTCAGTCAATGACAAATTGTTTCCCCTCTAGAGGGATTCCCAATGTATTGTTTCCCCTCTAGAGGGGTTCCCATTGTACTGTTTCCCGCCTTTTTTGGGGGTATCTCTATTGAACTCTTTGCATGAGTGGATTTCTTTTGTGTGATTGCTAGCATTGGTGCATGCTATAGCAGGCAGGTAGCCATTCTAAGCTATGTGATAGGACTGCAAGCACTTGTACATTTGGCCTGCTGTAGGAGGAAATGTGATCAGACTTTGTTTAAAGTCTGCTGTATTTCTACGAGCTGTGATACTTGGTAGCATGCATACGGTCACTGTTGTTTAGCGTTTTGGCTAGTATTGGCCGAGGCTGTTTTACGAAGAGAAAACAATAAAGTACAGACTCTACTTCACTGACTCCGGATGCATTATTTGGTCGTCATGATCTCGAACCCTTTCAATGGTGTCAGAAGTGGGATATGACTGACAGCGAGGGACAATCCAAGACGATTTAGCAGTCCATACCAGACTCACCCTCTCCGTGGCATCGGTGATAGCAACATCATATCAGAGTGACAGGACATGAACTTTAGACTGGTTTTGTGTTAAAACAGCCTCGGTCAGATACTTGATAGTTATCTTTATGCTCATGTATGTTTTGATTTAGTTGATGCATCAATAATATTTTTCTGTTAATCTTTATGCATGAAAAAGCACTTGGAAACCTCAGTACAGGAAAATGACTACCACTACGACTACCTCGACAACTACAACAACAACAGCAACTATCACGCCAACTGCACCCACTACAAAAACTTCCCCGCCAACAACTCCAACAACATCCAGGGAGCAATCATCTGAAATGGATATGATGTCCCAATTTTTCCGTCGATCCATCGGGCTACAGAGCATTCTTCAGAGTAACTTGCCAAAATTTTGAGGGCTACCGCAACACGCGAGTGATGTCTCATTGTCAGAATGGCTTGAGGAATTTAATGAGATCACGGCCCACCACAATATGGAAATGAGTAGCAAGGCTCGACTTCTTGTGGATCACCTCGCAGGACCAGCGCGAGAGGAAATTTTGTGCCTCAGTGAATCAAAGAGAGGTGATATTGATGAAATTGTAGGTTGCCTCAAATTATGCTTTGGCTATCAAGAGACCACGCAGACCCTTAGTAGCAAGTTCCACAACCGTGTTCAAAAGGAGGGAGAATCGCTTTGTGATTTCAGCCGTGTCCTGCTACGCACTTATAACAAGATGGAAAAAGCAGCTACCACACAAGCTCAAGGAGAAGCGCTGAGCCAACTGAAAGATAAGGCTTTGAGTGATCAGTTCGTCAATGGGGCACGTGAGGCTTGGGTGAGGAGAGAGCTTAGGCGAATTCAGTTGACACATGAATCCAGCGGGTTTCTCAAAGTAAGGGAGGAAGCTCTCCAACTCTTTTAAGACACCCCCACTACCCAGAGGCCCAGAGTGCGAGAAGTAGATGTTGAGGTGGGAAGGGTAGTCAGTAATGATTCAACACCCCTCATGCAACAGATGGTTGAACAGCAGAAAGCAATGATGACAGAACTAGAGCATCTTCGAGATGAAGTAGCCAGGCTGAAAAGAGCGAGACCTTTGCAGAGAAGGAAGACAGATGGAGCATGCTATGGCTGTGGCCAGAGGGGACATTTCAGGCGAGACTGTCCCAACGTGCCTCCAAACTTTCCAATGCCTCAGTACAACTTCCCCACTGGCCCTAGAAACCAGGATAATCAAAACTTCCCTGCTTGGAGTATGGAACAGGGAACAAGGAGCCAAGAGCATTTCAACATACCGGCAAAACACTATCAAGCTCCACCCCAACCAATTACCACCATCCATCACCAACATGCTCCGCCACAAGAGGAAAACTAGTTTCCTGTGTTGTTGAGGGCAAAACAGCGGAGGACATTAGACAACGGTGTAACACAGAAGAGCCCATGGAGGAAATCACCCCAAACCCAAAATTTGGTATGTCCTTAACTGATACTGGAAAGGATGATGCAGAATTGAGTTTGACCCACAGTAGACAGACTTCAGTGGCAGAGGTTGCGACAACGTTTGAGGAGATGAAGAACACTGCAGGGTTAGTGTCCGAAAGCCCGACCGCTATGGCAGAAGTTGCTGGAGTGAAAATTGGCTGTGTCCTTGACACTGGGGCAGAAGCTTCAATAATACCCTCTGATGTGTTCCACTCACAGCTAGAAGCAGCAGTAGGAGAAGTGAGCCCGTTTGATTTACCAGTAAAAATTGTTGGGGTCGGTCCAACGAAGGTACCAGTAGAGGGCTTTGTTCGGACTCGCGTTTTGGTGAAGGGACAAGAAGCCACTGTCGGATTTCTGATTGTACAGCGGGAGTCTTGTGGGGAAAGACAAAGAGACTTCCCAATATTATTAGGATGTAATGCACTTCGAGCTCTTTTTCCCTCAGAGGAGGCTCGGGAGAATTCCAGCTAGTGAAAGACTGCTTACGCTTGGAGAAAGTGGGCAACGCACATATAAGAGAAGTGGTTACTGGTGCAATGGAGGAAGTATTGCCAGCAAGGACTATACAACATGTGGATTGTGTAATGAAGCCCTCTCAAAGTAGTGAAACTACAGAGTCAAGGGTCTGGCTTATTCAGGGTATCACAACGTTTGAACCCCAAGTTCATGTCATAGAATGTTGTAGCTCTGAAAATGGAGAGATGCATTTACTCCTAATCAATTCTGGAGAAAAGGAGTTCATCATACCACCTAACTCAACAATAGCATCTGCCATACAATTGGAACAACGAAATGAGATTCAACTTCATACTAGAGATGACCAGCTTGAGGTGAATATATGTGATGTATTGATCACCACGACAGAATTGATGAAGGGTGAAGAAGGAAGTCGACCTGAACTTACAAGAAATATTCAACCACCAGATGAATCATCGGCACAGGAAAAATTCACCTTCACTGATGGAAAAGAAGTTAAGCTTCCTCATGGCATCAGCCTTCGTGAGATGGACTATCAAGATGCATCTAGGATCGCTAAACTTCTGACAGACCATGAAGCGGCATTCTCCAGAGACGAGTTTGACTTGGGACAATGTGACCTTATACCCCACGAAATTAAGGTGACCTCTGACAAAACAGTACGTCTGCCATATCGAAGAATAACTCCCCATGAAACTTCAGAAGTGCGCAGTCTATTGCAAGACATGCTGGAACGTAAGATCATAAGGAGATCTGCTAGCCCTTATGCCAGTCCAGTCGTCTTAGTAAGGAAGAAATCAGGGGCCCTACGCTTATGTATCGACTACCGACAGTTAAATAAGATTACCGTGAAGGACTCTTTCCCAATTCCCAGGATAGACGAATCACTAGAAGTCATGGATGGAGCCAAATACTTCTCTTCCCTCGATTTATCACACGGGTACTTTCAGATCACCATGCATCCAGACTCTGTTCCCTTAACCGCCTTACGTGTCCCATGGGGCCTCTTCGAATTTGATAGAATGCCACAGGGTCTGTGCAACAGCCCAAGCACATTTCAGAGAGTGATGGAAGTGATCTTCAGTGACATGAACTTCACAAAACTTATACTGTATCTTGATGATGTTCTGGTGTTCTCCAAAACGTTTGAGGAGCATCTAGCAAGACTTGGAGAAGTCTTCAACCGGTTAGTGAAACATGGCCTGAAGCTGAAAGGTGGAAAATGTCAGCTTTTCAAGAGGGAAGTGGCTCATCTAGGGCATATCGTCAGTGAGAAGGGTGTCATGGTGGATCCGAGCAAGGTATCAAGGATCAAGTCTTGGCCAACACCCCAAAGTGGATCGGAATTGAGCTCCTTCCTTGGCCTCGCATCCTATTATCGGAGATTTGTCCCTGACTTCACAAGACTGACAGCCCCTCTACATGCATTAACCGGACAGAAGTCTAAAAAGAAGAGGAGGAAGACAGAGAACACTGTCTCAGACCTAACATTTGTGTGGACCACAGAAGCAGAAGTGTCCTTTCAGGAGCTGAAAGACAGACTGTCTTCAACGCCAGTCCTGGCATACCCAAGGTTTGGAGAAGAGTTTATACTTGAGGTTGACGCTTCTCTTAAAGGACTCGGTGCCTGTTTGTCACAACCGGATAGAGATGGTCATCTGCATCCAATTTCTTTTGCAAGCCGTAGCCTACGTGGAGTCGAAAAGAACTATCCAGATTTTTCAAGCTTCAAGATTGAGCTGTTAGCTCTCAAATGGGCGGTGGTAGAGAAATTCAAAGGGTACCTGATAGGTACAAAGTGTATTGTCTACACAGATAACAACCCCTTAGCCTATCTTCAAACTGCACAGCTGGGGGCAACTGAGCAAAGATGGGTAGCACAGCTAGCACCCTTCCAGCTGGATATCAGATATCGTCCTGGGAAACTCAACAGATGCGCTGATGCTCTAAGCCGTTGTCCTGGAAATAGCGAAGAAGAAGTGAAAGAGTTGATTGGAGCTCTGACAGTTAGTACTGTCCTCCCAGCGGAAGTTGTGATAGATGGGGAGCAGCAGCCAGAGGAAGAGCCTCAAATAGCTCCTGGAGTGTACCCATCGTATTCTGCAGAAGAACTTGAGACCATTCAACAACAGGATGATGCACTATCAGTTTGTAGACAATATATCAGAGGTGAATGGAAGTCAGAGGATGAAGTCAAGAGAGAGAATACAGAGACAAGGTCCTGGCTAAAAGAACGTAACAACATCATAGAATGTGGTGGAGTATTGTATAGACAACTACCAGACTCCAAACACCCTCAGAGGAGACGGTTACTTGTTCCAAAGAGCCTCCAAGAGAAGATGCTACAGATGGCTCATGACCAATGGGGCCATCAAGGAATTAACAGAACTTTGGCAATTCTGCGAGAGAGATGCTTCTGGCCAGGCATGTGTAGTGATGTGAGAGGACACGTCAAGAAGTGCTTTGTCTGCATTGCATCTAAGACGCCAACACCAGCATTACGAACTCCAAGACGACATCTGTTGGCATTCAAGCCCCTTGAACTGATCGCAATCGACTTCTTGAAACTGGATAAAGGTCAAGGTGGATACGAAGATGTCTTGGTAATTACTGATGCATTTACCAAGTTTGCACAAGCAATTCCCTGCAAAAACCAAACTGCAATAATTACGGCACGTGCCTTGATTGATGGTTGGATTGTCCACTATGGTGCTCCGCTGCGAATTCACTCAGATCAGGGACGAAACTTTGAAAGTTCTCTAGTCCGGGAATTGTGCAAGCTGTATGGTATTGAGAAAACACACACCACACCCTACTACCCACAAGGCAACGGGCAAACAGAAAGGTTCAACCGAACTTTGTGCAGTATGATCCGTTCACTTGAGCCAGATCGCCGAAGGAAGTGGCCTGGTCTTATTCATCAATTAGTATTCCTGTACAACTGTACACCTCATGGGACGACAGGACTATCGCCATACCGACTCTTATATGGGCGAGAGCCCCATACACCGCTAGACCAACTGATCGGGAATGGACAAGCAAATTGGGATGAAGACTTTGTGACAGAGCATTCAAAGTCACTCCAACAGGCGCACATGGTTGCAAAACAAAATATGGAGACGACTTTGAAAAGTGAAAAGACAAGGCATGATGCCCTCCCAATGAGTTCACCACTCAGCATCGGCACGAGGGTGCTACTGAAGAAATGTGCTTTTGAAGGCCGTCATAAACTTGCCGACAAGGTCTTAAGGGATCCTTTCATAGTGACCGCAGTTAACGAGACCGGTGATGTGTACAAAATCCGTCCTATGCTAGGAGGACCAACAAGGGTTGTTAACAGAAGGCTGTTGATCATTGACCCACGAGAGGAGGTACTAGTTCTTAATCCACAGGCCAAAGCAAGGGAGCATGTGAGTTCACAACAAAAATCGCTGGCTACTACAGATGGAAACAATCCCTACTTCGCCTTTTTGTGGGAACCCTCGGGTTTGAGTAGGCCTACCCCAGGTGAAGAAAAACAAGCTATCCTCAATGAAGAGGACAATTTGAATGAAGATACCACAGCAACTGGAGATGAATCTCATGAGAGAGCCAACCCTCAACAAGAGAACGCGAACTATGAGTTTGAGTGTCGGAGGTCTCGCAGGATAAATAAGGGACAACACCGAAATCCGCATAATCTCCCTGTATCTGTATTACCAATATGAGAAGCGAACAATTTTGAATAGAGATTTGTTGATATTATGTGTGTTATATGTATTATGTACATGACTAATTGCATATGCCATGCGTAGAAATTGGAAGTATTATTATTATTGTACAATGTTTGAAAATTTGAAGGTTTTGTATTTACTGCTCGTAATTACATATATTTACCAATTGCAGTCAAACATTATGACATTAATCGTGGGGAAGTTGTTGTAAATTGGAATTTATGTTGTAAATTAAATAGGAATTATGTGGTGCAAAGATGCCCCCCCCCCCTTGCTTCTTCAGTCAATGACAAATTGTTTCCCCTCTAGAGGGATTCCCAATGTATTGTTTCCCCTCTAGAGGGGTTCCCATTGTACTGTTTCCCGCCTTTTTTGGGGGTATCTCTATTGAACTCTTTGCATGAGTGGATTTCTTTTGTGTGATTGCTAGCATTGGTGCATGCTATAGCAGGCAGGTAGCCATTCTAAGCTATGTGATAGGACTGCAAGCACTTGTACATTTGGCCTGCTGTAGGAGGAAATGTGATCAGACTTTGTTTAAAGTCTGCTGTATTTCTACGAGCTGTGATACTTGGTAGCATGCATACGGTCACTGTTGTTTAGCGTTTTGGCTAGTATTGGCCGAGGCTGTTTTACGAAGAGAAAACAATAAAGTACAGACTCTACTTCACTGACTCCGGATGCATTATTTGGTCGTCATGATCTCGAACCCTTTCACTAAACTTCCGGTAAATTATAAGAATATGGATGAATTTGGTATCAGTTTGTAAAAAAAATACAGTGTTTTCGAGAAAATTATAATTATTTTGTTTTGTCCGTTTGTTTTTTCAAAGTTGGGGGTGCGGCCTATGCGGCGGTGCGGCCTTATCGCCGGCAAATACGGTAGCTCTAGTTTTAGCTACATGTAGGTTCTTCCCGGAACCCATTTAACACCTGGGTGGAGAGTGGCAAATATAGGTTAATGTCTTTAAAAGGGATATATGGCTCAACCCACAACCTTCACATCTCCAGTCAAATGATTAAACCACTCGACTAAACACCTCCCACTAAAGAAATTGAATAAATATATATATATATACTTTTAAAAAATCACCTGCTTTTGCTCCAAATATTTCTTCTTGAGAAGTGTCTTGAAGATGCGGAAGCTCTTGGAGCCGAATCTCTCCTGGACCACAGACTCTATGTTTGCTGTACAAATGACCCGAGAAGCCTGCTCCAAGTCTATCTCATACATTCCACCGCCTGCATCTCCATACTTCTTTACTATCATCGTCTGACGAAAGGGAGATCAAGAAAAAAGGAAAAGTATAAACAGAAAGCAATGAAAAGTAAGCATTCATCTGTTGGTTTTTTTTATTCTAGAATATATAAGTACACAACTGACTGATGGGACAGACTTATTTTGTTATTTTTGCTGCTATTGTTATTATTACTATCATTATTACTACAACTACATATACTACTACTACTATTACTACTACTACTCCTACTACTACTACTAGCATTATATCATCATCTTTACTATTCTGGTGGCAATGTTACCAAATGGCTATATGGAGTAGAAAATGACTGAACTTTAATAATATGAACTTCTTTTTTGATAATATCAAAAAAGATATTCATAAGAAGCAAATATGTAACAGCAATAGTTCACAGACTCACACCTAGCTGTGGGTTATCACTTTTTGATTGATTGATTTATTTCTGATATTTATACAGGGTGACACATATCACCAATTTGGTAGTCTTCCATGAGGCCCTGTTTGGTAAGAATAAAACAAATAACAGCAGCGAAAACAAAATACCTGGTAGATAAACACAAGCATATAAACAGGTAATATACAAATTAATTGGTATCCTCGTGAAATAACTGACCATTTAAGAAATTATCCTTCATCATTTCCAAGATATATGTGAACCTCTTCCACAGTAGGTATTGCAGGAAAGAATAATGCACACAACTCATTTTATAATTTCATTTATATACCAAATGACAAGATATTAGGCCTCTGATTGGTCAGAAAAATTTCATGTCACAGTTAAATCTATAGCTCCTCTATGATCTTAAAACAGAACAAGACTCCTGGTCTCAGAGTACAGTAACATTTCAAGATCACTTTGAGCAATAGTTTTAACCATGTGTCTCAAAACAGTCACTATCTGTATAACATTGTTTCAAATAGAGTATGTTACAAATGACCTACCTGGTCATCAAGCAATAGTTTCATGTATTGTTCTAGCTGCCTGTTTTCCAGTTTCTTAGGCATCTGTCTTGCAATATCATGGAACGAGAGAGGCTTAGTTTCCCGCGCCATGAAGTCTGTAGTCAGTTCACTCATTCTCAGCATGGTAGCAACCACATCTCCAGCAGACTGCCAACACAGAGAGGAATTGATTTAATTCATGAAATATGATACTCTTCTGCTTTGGTTCAATAGAGATCACATGCATCCATGTAGGATTATCAAAGATATTGATTGTGGAGAGAGGAATAGAAGAAAGCAATAACTTAGAAAGCCTACATGCTTTGGAAGTATCTGTTAGTATAAAAATCTCTTGAATCCTAGCCTTTTTTTAAGGGGAAGCAAATGTTCTGGAATTTTTTCAATTCATATATGCCTTTAACAATGTAACACCACTATTTAATCATAAAACAATTTAAACTTTAAGGATTCACTCTGATTAAAGTATCAATCACCTAAGAGATTTGTGTGTATAGGAAGAATGTATTAATGAACTGTACTAATTCAAAGACATTATTACAATCAAAATATCATTCTGATGGGGCATATATATATATAATGAGCATGTAAATAAAATAAATCATCAGTGCTACAGAGAGTAAATTATATCTAACCTTGTCTATTCTCTGTGTTATAGCCGAGATGATATCTTGATCTCTGAAATAACGATGAAAACGTTCAAAATTCACTTTCCAGTAGATTCCATCATCCAGAGGCACCTACACAAAACCATGAAAGAAAATATATTAATATTCTACAACACATGTGGTTAGAATCTCAAGGTCAGTATTTCTACTAATTCTACTAATAATAATACTACTAGTAAAGGATTTCCTGTCCATTTTAATGACATTGCTTTTAAAAATGTTTCCAGTTTTACAAATCTGAGATGCATGGCCCTACATGTTATCAGTGTCTGTGATATTATGTAATATTGAAGCCCTAACAAAGTTGCGCTTCAAAATGATCATGAAGTGCCTAAAAAAAGAAAAACCGTTGAGTGACCGGTTTTACCATACTCATTTTCCCCAATAGACTGCAGCGTTATAGAAACCGTTGGGAAATATCGGGATAATCACACAGGCGATTGGCTTGTAAAGGACATGGGATTCCTGACTGACCAAAAGGTTTATAACTGTGATTGCAGCATGGGCTTAATCTAGGATGTTGTTTAGAATCTGAGACAAAGATACCCAATCCCATTAACAATTTTTCTCACAATTTCATGGTGCACTTCAATTTCATCCCGAGAATCTGGCAAGGTGCAAATGTCAAAGTTGATTTTGTTATTTATAATTCACTTTAATCAATGGTCAATCAACTTTAGCATCTGTCCATTCAATTATGTCAGACTTAATTCAAATTCGTCTTACCTGACGGTTCGCTGCAGAATGAAATGATAAAATTGTCTTTGTGCACTTCACGTTTGTTTCATTCAAATTAGTCAAAATTGGCAAAATTAGGAAAAATTGATTTGTGCAATGGTAGGTTGGCAGCGAGAGATGATGAATTTGATTTGACGTGGTTGCAATTGGATTCATATTGATGAAATTAAATGGACAAAGAAGAAATTAACATGGTGATGTGCAAGATCACAAAGTTTCGGAACGAAATTGAATAAAGAAAATATAAAATTGAATGAAACTAGATGGAACTTTGACTGCGCGCAGTCCAAATGATGCCTCCGTCATAGAGCAATTTTACAAACCAAAACAGAAGAAATTTTTCAAATTCAAGTTCAATTGTAATCCATTAACAGGTTCTCAGAATATCGTGATTACAAGCAATTTCTCATATACATATATGACCCTTTGATCTTTGACCACAAGACCCTAACATCTACTCAGTTCATCGGCTCTGCAAGATGTCCCAAGTTAAATAGTAATCCATCTGTCAGTTCTAATGAGAATGCGTTCACTAGCTATTTTTTGCATACATAATGAGCACATGACCTTTGACCTCATGACCCAAGAATCTACTCAGTTCATTGGCTCTGCAAGATACATACATGATCTAAGTTTGGGAGGAATCCATCAATCTGTTCTAATGATAATGCGATCACAAGCTATTTTTGCATGCATAATGAGCCGCACGACCTTTGACCTTGACCTCATGACCCCCAAATTTAATCAGTTCATCGGCTCTGCAAGTAACATACATGACCTAAGTTTGGCAGGAATCCATCAATCGGTTCTTGAGATAACGCGATCACGAGCTGTTTCAGCATACATAATGAGCCCTGTGACCTTTGACCTTTGACCTCGTGACCCCAAAATCTAATCAGTTCATCAGCTCTGCAAGATACATACATGACCAAAGTTTGGCAGGAATCCATCAATCAGTTCTTCAGATAACGCGATCACGAGCTGTTTTTGCATACATAATGAGCCCTGTGACCTTTGACCTCGTGACCCCAAAATCTAATCAGTTCATCGGCTCTGTAAGATACATACATGACCAAAGTTTGGCAGGAATCCATCAATCGGTTCTTCAGATAACGCGATCACGAGAACGGGACGTACGGACGGACGGACGGACAACCCGAAAACATAATGCCTCCGGCTACTTCGTAACGGAGGCATAAAAAGGGTTGAAATGGACAGGAAATCTATATTACTACTACCTGTTAAATATGTAAAATAATGCGAGTTAATGCCTAATGAGCCTCTTGTAGACCTGTGGGATATCACAGGGATGTCTTTTGCACACAGCTACTTTTTTTCAGCCCTAATTAGCAATATATGCGCACATGTAAAATGGCTTTCATTTTGCTGCAGCGGATTTTAGAGGCAGTTTACTGAGTCACGTATGAACAAGCATACCTCTTGATCTGGTTCTGATCCCACAGAAGAACTCCTGGCTCTCTTGCTACTTCTTCCACCATCATTCAAAGGCCTCTTCCTTTTTCCTGTTACTAATAAAACAAATCACAAATCAATCAATCAATTAAATGATATTTGATATAGCGGCTAGAGCGCCTTTTTCTTGCGGTTACAAAGCACTGTACACACCCGCTCCACAATGTTTGGGCCACTTATAAACAACTGTTTGTGAAAAAGAGAAAACAAATGACACTTTTAGAATTGCCTATCATTTTTTAGAGTAGGTAGTAGATATGAGAATACATGTACGTACCATTCCAAAGCTTTGGAACAACCTACCACTAGACCTAATAAAAGCCTTATCTGTTGCTGTCTTCACAGTTTTGTTGAAGACGCATTTGTTTTCAGAAGCTTTTGAGTAGCTTTTGGTGGTGCGTTCGCAAAGTAGCACTGTTAGGATTTTTTTTACCATCACACTGCCGTTATATGAATTGATCTATATGTACATACTGAATATTTATCTCAAAACTTGTTTTATACCAAATACCATGGTTGGTTACACAAAGGTCAGCTTAGGTAACTTGCTCTAAACCCCCTTGCACCAACTGAGAAGGTATTAGTAGGAGATAGAAAAAGAAGCAAGAAAGAGTTTTTATCCATCAATTTGTTTTAAATCAAATCAAGCTCCAGTTAAATTATAAGGATTCTTTCCAAATGTGTACGACAACATGGTGTATATTGCCAAAAATGATGGAAGCTGATCGAATCATTACATCATTATTAAGTATTTGGCATTATCTATGCTTGGGAGGCAAAAAGGGAACTGAATCACTGTAACCCTCTGGTCTCTCCTCCTAACTGATTTGGGGTATGCAGGTAGACTACTACACCGGGGTTTTCCCCTACTCTTACACGAATAGTGCAGTGGGTTCTTATCGTGCAGAGGTTGTAAAGCTGCCCTTCAAGGGGCCTCCATTTAACCCTTTGCTTACCGGAACCTGGTGGTCCCTGTGTTAAGCCTATGGGACCTATAAAATTGAGTGGTCAAAGGGTTAACTATCCGAGCATCACCTATGATAGAAACATTTTTTTCTTTATTTGTTCTCACCTCCTGCAGTCTCTGGTATCCTATACAGGTCAGCATCGGAGACAGAAAGGTGAGGAATAAGAGGAATTACTTTGCTCTCTTCATCATCTTCAGCACTCCATGATGGTAACCTTTGCAAGAAGTGTGTATTGACAAGGTCAATGAACTTATCTTTGATTGCTGAGGGTTCCAGCTGATTTCCTAAAAAGCAGACAAAAAGCACAAATAATGTTAAAGGATAGTAGGATACCCTAACTTCTTCAAAACAATTTCTTATGTATCCTAGTTTCACTTATTATTTTTTAAATCAAGAATATCTTAAAATAAAACAAAATTGAAATATCTGTTCACACATATGCAAAATTAGGTGTTTTGGCTGTATCAGCATCATGAGCGCACCAAAGAATATCTTAAGGAAAATTTTAAAAGATCTAAAATGAACCCTGCCTATAGCAGTATCTGTATTATATGTCAAAATTATGTTTGCATTTGAAATGTTTCTCTCAGCATCTTTGCATCTCTATTTTAATTTTGTTTTCCCCTCCACAATTCCAGAAGACAGTGTGAACACCAGAACCCCTTTCACAAAGGGTTTTGACAACTGACAAAAATCAGTGACAAATCTGCTGATAACCAATCAGAAGCAAGGATTTCACTAGCTTATAACAAAAAAAATGTCATTTGTAACTGGTGACAAGTTTTGTGAAATGGGGCCCAGTTTACTCAAGGTTGCATACATCTAACATTGATGAGTCAGAATAAAACTCAACAAAAAAAGAAAGTGGACTCTATTTATAATTAAGATTTTCAAATAAATATTCAAAGGCATTGGGTAGCCTTGCCTCTGATTCTGAACAAAATCCTGGATTTAGCTCATGCTGCAATTACAATTGAACCCTTAGGTCAGAAATGAGTCTCATGACTTTTACAAGCACATCACATATTTCATTAACAAGATATTTACGATTGGAATTAGAAATTTTTCAACAGTTTTTATTACACTACTGTCTATTTGGGAAAATGAGTATGCCATGGTAAAACCAGTCACTCAAAGATTTTACCTTTTTGAAGCAATTCATGATAATTTTGAACTTTGAAGCACAATTTTTTAGGGCTTCAATATTTCACTATATCACAGACACTGATAACACAAAGGGCCATGCATCTCAGATTTTTAAAACTGGAACTTACGTTTGATAAATAAAAAATTAAAAAAATGAATCCTCTTCAAGATGATATTTAATTGGAATTATACCATCCACGTATGACTGAGCACAGCCATTTAACAATATGGAGTCTCTGAAAAAATATGCAACTGAAAAATGGGACATCTGGCCATGTTGATGAGCATTTCCATCTTGTCAGGTTAAATCAAAACTATTAAAAACAAAATCACAAGAAACATAAAAAGGAAAGGCATCTTGACCATACTATGCAGTCTTGAAACTACAGTCGACATCAAGAGATCAATTCTCCTCATCATTTCTCGTTCTCTGTTTTCATTGTAGAACTAGAAAATCTTACACATATTTATTTACATTTGAATGGCTACTTGCTCTATTTTTGCAATTTTCTTAATCAGATAATCTAACCGGTAAATGAATGTGCCCATTCAAGCGTGAAAGTTCAAAACTTGATCTCAATGACGTTTGTAGAGTATAAATTTTCCTACAATTTGATATTTATTGTATTCTTATCTATTGACTGCTAATATGACAATTTTGAACTATAAACAGTGTCCATTTTTTTATTTTTTATTGAGTGTATATTTACCTTCCATTGCTTCTTTCAACCTGACCTTGACCTTTTCAACGACATTGCTCATGAGTATCTCCCCGTGATGCAACACCTCCTCTACAATCAGCTCTCCAATGTCACCATAGAGAGTCTTGGCACTGTAGATGTAGCGTGGGTAACGAACGAGCAGTAGAGCCTTCTCAACGTCAGCTGTGTACTCCACCATACCACGCTTGTTCAAGCCATATTTCACAATGTTATGCTGGATTAAGACACATAACGCCTTTTTTACCTGTATTTGAGTGAAAGAGACAAAGTTCATGATTTGGCATCATATAATGTTTTCACATTTTATATTCTACATCTTTTTAATTTAATTCAGTTTAGTGACTTAAATTTATTATCATGTTTATTTGATAGACATCTATTTTCCCATTGCATCATTTTGTTGCCAAATTGTGAAAGTATTCATAAATTGAAAATATTGACCTAGAGTAGACCGTACATCAAAATACAAATAGTGACTTGAAGAAGCACTGAAATGTTTGTACTAAGGCTGTGCACAACAGTGTAATGAGGTACCCGAGTACACTCCCAGGCTCACAAGCGAATACTCGAATATTCGGACGCCATGTTTTTTTATAATTTTTTTGAATTTTTTTGAATTTTTTTATTTTTTTTTATTTTTTTGCCACTACCATACAACTCGGCAGTTTCCCAGGTCCCTCGCCGAAAACGCATGCAATTTTACTTCAAATTGCAGTTGAAGGCGCCGATTTAATAAGAATAATAACAGTAAACAATGCTGTTTTAAAAACCAAAGATGGCAGAATAATCCATTTTCCTCCAAGTCCAAACAGAAATCTGGACATTTGGTCCCAGTTTCTGAAAGGTGAGTTTGACAGTGCTTGAGTTGGGAAACATTTTTACCGACGGTACCATGCCAGAGGTCGCCGCTCTCCCTGGCACGGGTAAGTGTGGGCCTGGACATTTGTTTTTTTGTTTTTTTTGCGGCCGAATAATCGGATACGAGAAATCGTACCCGGGTAGTTGTCAACTGTGCGGGTACTCGAGCATTCGACTACCCGTATAACTAAACAGTATGGTTCCAAGTACTTAAAGGAAACCTCACATCAAAGAATAAGTGTAAAATCCTAGCTGAATGGGTACATGTACAAATTATATTTGGCTAAAAAGTATTTTTGGGTAAAAGTTATATTTGGCGAAAAATATATGACAGGGGAAATTGTAACTAATCCATTAAAAAATACTAACATATTATAGCATATGAAAAATCTATGTATTTATGAGAAGCCTTCATTCCAGAAGAACACCAACTTATTTATGCAATTTATTTGCATTCTGGCGATTGCAGTATAAAGGATTAATAATAATACCAGGTGAATGAAACACCACACACACCTGAAAAGGGAATATCCATAAATTTAAATACATAAAAAAGTCATGTAATTAAACGATGCATGTCAAGTTATCAAGAAATTTACTGAGAATGTTTACATTATTCTTGTTTTATAACTCTCTCAGTCTTAGGAGTCATACACTTTGGAGGGGAATCTTGTATTAATGGGCAAGAATACCACAAGAATACTAGTTTCAATTTTACTACAACTTTGTACAAGAATACATCTCTGTCTCTCACTTAGACTTAGTCGTCTCATTCAGTCATTGCATTGACAGACATAGACCGAATTTTCCGTCTCTTTCGTTCGTTAGCCTCTTATTGGGGTAGGGTCGGCCGGCTCTCTCTTTAGAGACGGAAACCGTCCATACACATTCCCTTGATAACGCCACGGCCATTTCAGGTCGTAGCGTTTTGCCCCCAAAATCCCCCAAAATGTCATTTTACCTCGTGTATATTCAAATGTAAATTAGGCCTAGGCTATAATACATCGGTTCCACTTACTAACTTGATTGAAATAATCCGTTTAATGGTCCCTTTTAAGGAAATTATGGGTCAAAATCGACATCCATGTTGAAAATCTTGCAAGCCGTGTTAAACTCTCGCTGCCGGAGTCATCTAAATCAATCTCATCCCTTCTAGTCTACGCCGAAGGCAAAATGATTATGAAGGAAAAACTGTGCGCCATCTACACGTTCGTAATGGCGTTATCACAGTTTTTCCTTCATAATCATTTTTGCCTTCGGCGTAGACTAGAAGGGATGAGATTGATTTAGATGACTCCGGCAGCGAGAGTTTAACACGGCTTGCAAGATTTTCAACATGAATGTCGATTTTGACCCATAATTTCCTTAAAAGGGACCATTAAACGGATTATTTCAATCAAGTTAGTAAGTGGAACCGATGTATTATAGCCTAGGCCTAATTTACATTTGAATATACACGAGGTAAAATGACATTTTGGGGGATTTTGGGGGCAAACCGCTACGACCTGAAATGGCCGTGGCGTTATCAAGGAAATGTGTATAGACGGTTTCCGTCTCTAAAGAGAGAGCCAGCCGACCCTACCCCAATAAGAGGCTAACGAACGAAAGAGACAGAAAATTCGGTCTATGACAGACACTGATCTCATTCAGTCTCAGGCTGCGTTCATGCTTAAATTTTGAAGGCAGAATGAGCGATCTGAAACGCTCATCGTAAACGCTCATCGTGATCGCAGTTCCACGATGTACTGTTCATGCTTACTTCTCTGGCTCCCCCAGGCAATTCTCAGTGTGTGGCCTTAATTGGTCTTCCAGCTGGATTCGCAAACCTTCACTGTGCATGCTACGTAGACCCACTAGAGGTCAGTGCGTTGACCCCATTTAAACGCATGTACAAATTGTAAACGCATCTTTTTGTGAGTTTACGATCGGCGATCGTGATCGCCGTTTTTCGGTGATTCTACAAAAGTGAGCATGAACGCAATCGTGTTTTAAACTAGGCACATTCATGGGGCACTAGAGGGCGCTTCGGTCGCGTACGAAAATGTGAATGGCCTTGCTGCGGTGGGTCGGCAATAATCAGCCCAAAACTTGGATATGGGAGGTTGGAGGGATATATCTTTTTTATAATGTTATCCGGTCTTACCCTCAACCATCCTATGTTTAATCTATGTAGAAATAGCATGCGAGTATGATAAAAGAAACATCAGGACCATTACTGAAGTAACTTTTAAATATTAGCCTAGAAATGACCACCAAACTGAAAAAATTGACATTTTTTCCCGACAAATCTTCATAAAATCTGAGTTATAAACAAGTCACATCTAGGTACACTAATACAAATACGATTTTCTGAAAATTCAGGTATGATTTTTTAAGTTTCTTTCAAGTGTATTTCTGCGCATTGCAGCGCCAATATTCTTCACTGCTTCAAAATCACCCTTGAATTTTTTTTTTTGCAACGAATTTGATACGAGGTCCGCGAGTGTTCCCCGCTCCTTGCGTGTTGAAAGTTTGGTAATACATAGTTTGCATTGACTCGCGCACGAAAAAATGATCGAAAACAAAATGTCAAATGAAGAAATAAACAAGCTTTTGTACAGTTATAAGAGTTCTACCGAGGTTTCTTTGTCGATTTAATTTATTATTTATATAGTCTCACTTAGAATTCAGAATGTTCTCACTGAAAAGTTAAGAAACCGACGATGTTCTCGATCGTAGTTATTTTCATTTTGCCAGCAGCCGATCTAGCGTTGTTTGGGAAAAAAGCTAGGCCGCTGCCTTCCCACCACGAACCTTTCCGAGTCCCGCTAAAATGGCGCGCTGCGGAGCTCCGAAGCTGCGTTGGTATCGCTGCAAACTCTCAGCCGGCTAGCTCCCCATGACGGACCATTCGCGGTATGGCGAGAGTGTGTGTGAGGTATGATTTTGGATTCGAGAACGCACGTAACGCAACCGTGCGTGTCATTTTCAGCTGTCGAACGTGTACGACCAATTTTACATGTACGATTTTTAGTACAGATACTTGGTCAGTTTTCTTCTTAAATCTTTGGTTTTACAACATTTAAAAATATAATTTCTTCAAATCTGCTCCTGACTCGGTTCAGACTAATTGTCTGATGTGTTTTCAAGTCAATTTTTTTAATATATTTTTTTGCATGAATTTGCCTATTTAAACTAAACGCGTAACAGATGCCTGATTCTGGCCGTCAAAATCAAGCATGAACGCGCCCTCAGACTCTCACTTCTCACTCTCAGTCTCAGCTCAGAATAACTAGCTATTTCTTGGGTTGAGCCATGGGATCCTATTCAGGACCTCATGAATAAGAAGGGGTGCCTCACTGCCCTGCCTCCCACACAATTAGGGCCTAACAGCTGCAGCATGCTCCCCGGCCCCCCCCCCCTTTTTTTTTTAAACCTTCACTAACAAAAAAAATTATACGTGGGACTAGACCTAGATCTATACTAATAAAGCCCACCAACAGCCCACCGACCATGTACCTGTTCTGGCTTTTCCTTTACGGTAGACACTACACTCCGGAAATTATTCGATCCATTTTTAAGGAGATGTGTGCAAATTTTCTCCACAACATCTCCGAAATGCTCTTGAACTAGGAGAGAAACCAACTTTAGTTGAAGAGACGACATTATTGCTGAGACTTTCAATGATTTTTTTTTTTTACGCAAATCGTATTAACGTCTTTATTATATGTATGAACGGACAAACGATAAATGAAAAATACATGTGATAATAATTATGTGCGCCAAGCCTGTGTAAATTGAGTGCATGTATTGTTCAATTTGTACCGATTTGAAAACGTGGATTAAGCACTTTATATTTCTAAATGCATTTTATTTTGAAAAATATTTTAAATATATGAATTTTATTTCATTTTGAGGTTCAATCGTAAGATTCGAAGAAGAAAAAAGGTTATTTGTAATTAGTATAAAACCGATCAATACCACAAGTCCACAACGTAAGTTGTACTTTAATAGACCATTTTCGTAATGTAACCAAATTTAATGCACAAGTGTTTGTGAAGTGCCTCAATACAAATTATTTCATTCACCTGATAAGAATATAGTAATTCAATAGTCAGAATGCAATGCATATATCAAGTGTTACTAGGTAGGTCAAGTCATAATGGTTGTCCAACCTGTCAACAACTAATGTATGCAGTTTGAATAATGTCTATTGAGATACAATTATTTGTAGCAGATGAATGAAATAATTTGTATTGAGCCACTTCGCAAAGACTTATGCATTAAATTTGGTTACATTACGAAAATGGCCTTATATTGTTCGGCTTTGAATAGAGAGCCCCTTTGACCTACATTACCATTAATTAATTCGAAATATACTAAGCTAAAGCAGATGCGCCCCTTTTCCTTTGTAAGAACTGCCCCTTCTAATAGGTGCTCCTTTATCTTTTGAAAAGTGCACCCCCCCCCCCATATTTCACTCAGTCTCATAAATATCTCTTTTCACCTCTGATAAATGCCAATATAAAATCTGATAAGTGCCTCTTTTCCTGCGACAACTTCCCCTTTTCCTTTGCAATAAATGCATGTTCACCGTCATTTCCATAAGTGTCCTTTTTTCTCTGGTGCCCCATTTCAGGTACGAAAAGTACGCCTTACCACCTCTGAGAAGTGCCCCCTTCACCTCTGATAATTACCCTATTCAAATCTGACAGTTGCACATTTTACTTCGACAGTTTTCCTTTGTAACTATTGCCCCCTTTTGCTCGCTAGCTTCGCTCGTTCAAAAATTGATATTCAGACCATCAAACCCAACTGCAAAGTATAGCAGTATTTTTTACATTGTGTACCACATAAAGAGAGAAACAAATATTGATGTCATCCTTGGTAGCAGGCGCGTACGCAGGGGGGTGTTTGGGGGGTTAAACACCCCCCTTTGGTATTTTTACATGTGTAAACCCCCCTAAAAAAAACCTAAAACCCCTCCCCCTTTGGATTTTTTTTTTTTTTTTTTTTTTTTTTTTTTATTAAAAAAAAAAAAAAAAAAAAAAAAAAAAAAAAATTACCTCCATGGCTGACCTAAGAAAGGTGACCTTACCCCCCCCCCAACAGAGCAAAATGTCAAATTTTCAAAAAAAAAAAAATGTCCTCTTACCCCCCCCCCCCCCCCCCCCCCCCCCCCCCCACTGAGCGACTTTTCGGCTGGCTGAGTCGTTGCGATTTTTTTTGGGACTCCCTAAAAAAAAAAAAAGTGTCCGCTTACCCCCCCCCCCCCCCCCCCACTGAGCGAATTTTTGGCCGGCGCAATTTTCCAATTTTCCTGAGTCGTTGCGAAATTTTGGACCCGATTTTAAAACCCCCCCCCCCCCCTTGAAAAAATCCTGCATACGCCACTGCTTGGTTGTGTTATCACAATCTTGACAGTGTAATCTAAAAATGGTGTATGTTCACTTTGAAGTTTCCCTTTGGCTTTGTAGGTGCCCCTTTTTTTTCCAGAGAGTGCCCTTTTTGTTGGTGCCCCCCACGGTCCACCGCCCCTGGGCTAAAGTTTGAAAATGTTCACCGTCCGTCGGGGCACATGCCTACAAGTTCCTTATAGATTTAATCATAGGGCCAAGATCCAGTGTACAAAGAATGAATGCCTTTTTTTTTCTTCTTTTTTTTTAATCTCATTTTTGAACCTTTGATTAATCCATGAAATTTGTTTTTCCCTTCCACAGGGTTCTTTATTTTCAAAACAGTATATCCATACATTATATACAAATAATTAAAGCAATAATGTAGTGCACAATGATTTCCATACACGATTGTAATCATCACGACCGAAAACTTTGCCCGCAGAAAAAAAAAATTATGACGAAACTAGTATTTTAGATATTTAAGAAAATACCTAACAAAACAAAAATGATCATAGTCGTGTTGGCACATTTCCAACACTCTCAAAATATTTTCTAATTTTCTAATTCATGAAAGAGCCTAATCGAGCGAGCTAGCTATTTTAGGTTCAGTCTCTCAACTTCTATCCAACTCTTGATCAGACCAAGATTCACGGACACAGTAAACAGTAATTTAAAGTTTTTTATAAATAAAAAAGGAACCTGTCCACCTCCCCCTCCCCCCCCCCCCCCCCCGGACTCTCCACTGCCTCTTGTGTCTCCGAACGCTTATATTTATTTGTTATTTTCTAGTTTGTGGACACCGTATATGAGTATTCAGACGACTAGGATTCTATGTTCAGACATGTGGTACGAGAGAAAATCCAGTCGTTTTGTATTATATTTGACCGTAAGTTAGGAGGACACATGCGCTCTTTTTAGTTATTTTCTAATAGACGAATGCGAAAAGTCTAAGCGCCTTATCAGCTGATTTACCTAACACCATCCAATTCAACAACACTCTTCCCGAAATCCATTATTAATACTATTTTGTAAGGTGTACCGGTAGTTCTAAGTTTAGAATTTCAGTCAGAATAATGGATTCTATAACTCGAGATAGCACAGCCCCTCGGGATCAGTTATTAGCAGAGCTTCATCGCTGTGCAGGTCTAGGCGAGACCGCCCATGTTTCGCGAATGGTGCAAGGGATGAAGTCCGGGTTGGATGGTCGCAATGAGCAGGGATGGACAGGTCTCATGCTGGCTGCTAGAAATGGACACGCTGATGTCGTCAAGCTACTGCTACAAAATGGGTAAGCATGCATACCTTGTATTAAAGGCATATTGAATACATTAACTGATATTAGTATTCAACAAACAAAGCAACAACAAAAATGATAATATTAAATTGATAATGATATGATTGATGCATGATGATAATCGATGTAGATCTAGGCCCTAGAATCTATACGAATACTGAAATAGTAAATATTGAATAGGTCTAGGTCTAGTCTCTAGATCTACATAATATTAATAATAATGATAGATGATGAAAATAATATTAATAATAATGATAGTTGATGAAAATAATATGTTAATCATGATTTAGATAATTATGATGATAATGATAATTAGATTCTAGTTGTATATGAATACAAATAATAATAATCAAAATTTTCTTCATCATTATTTGTTTTAGATCTTTGTGACAGGATATTAAAGGGTTCATAGCCCACATGTATGAAATAAATGCACTTTTCTTTTTTCTTTCGCTATAATTATACAGGTGCGATCCATTCTTACCCAATAAATCAGGCCAGAATTCTTTGGATATAGCCGAGTTCTGGGACCATACAGAGGTCATCAGTCTTCTGAGAAATGACCCCCAAATCAAGAAAGTGGCCGACAAGGATCTGATCAACTTCTTCGGTCTCAACCCTCTTGATCGCCAGAGTCACCAAAGAACCAACAAACAGTGGTTAGAAGATGCGATGCGAGCACCTACAACTACCTTCGTCCTTTACAGAGACTTGAATCCATACATCATCCCTTCTGAAGACAGCAATGGAACATTTCAATATAACCTTGCTGCCTTCTCCTATGCCGAAATCTCATTTGCCTTGAAGGAGGAAGCTTCAATTATATTTCTAGGGGTAGGGCCACTCCACATTTCGATGAAAAAAGATGGAAATGCCCAAGAGAAGAGTTCTGAAGAGGGGGCTTGGTTTGCTTTAGACGTTGCCAGTATTCCTCCAGAAGATCTACAGAAAGTCAAACCTGAGGCAGAGTTATTACCCAAGAGGAATCGCATGGCTATCATGTTACTGAGGGCAGAAGATGCTGGAATCATTGCTCTGGGCAAGTCAGTGCTGGCCTGGCATGACAGGTATAAGTTCTGCCCAACCTGCGGTGCACCTACTACCATAGCAGAGGCAGGATATAAACTTGTCTGCACAAAAGAAGGTGATAAGCTCTTTTCATACAAGTGACTTCTTTAATACTGGCATTACAATTCATTTTCCATTTTGTGATAATGGTACAGTTAAACCTGTCTACAGCGACCGCCCAAGGAAACAAAAAGTGTGCTTGTTGTACACAGGTGGTCTTTGTAGACAGGTGGTCACCAAAGCAGGTTTGACTGCATCAGGTGAACTGTAAGCATAAAAGAAAATTGAATTTAACACTGGTAAAAAAAAAAGTGCCTAACAAGGCTACCATGATAAGGACTAGTGATACAAGTATAATGATAATAAATATATGTCTAAAGTAGACCATCTAATTGAGATTCCATTTATGTATGCGATACCTAAACACCCCGGCCCCCCCCCCACTAAGTGTTATTTAGGGTACGCATATGCGTGTTCCAAGCGACCCCCCCCCCCCCCCTTTCAGCAAAAGTCCGGTGTGTAAAGTCAATACGGGTTGACCTTTTTCTTTTGTTATACAAGCCTTTTACAGCACCCCCCCCCTTTTCAGCAAAAGTCCGGTGTGTAAAGTCAATACGGGTCGACCTTTTTCTTTTGTTATGAAAGGACATTTTGGTAGCATGGGGTCCGTCCGTTCTCGGAGTGGGGGGGCCGGGCTAAACACCTGACTAAACAAGTTTGATTGGAATAAACAATAATTTGATTAGTAGATGAAAATTAGTGATTGAAATAATTTCATGTGCATACATATATATCTAAAGATAAAATTGACAAGAGTAATGGAACCACAGTCTTTGAAGATATTTATCAACCAAGTTATTCCTCAATAGTCGTGCTACAAGTGCTACAAGTACAATCTTGTACCTATTGTTTCATTCCCCGGGCCCCCACGTTCTCATGAAATGTTCATACTGTTGCATTCTTTTTATTGGTTATTTTATTGGTTTTTATCTTCTCAGGCTGTAGAAGTCTTCAAGGTGTTCATAACACCTGCTACCCCCGCCTAGACCCTGTGGTAATCATGCTTGTAGTCTCAGAGGATGGTAAGAGTGCTTTATTAGGAAGGAAGAAAGGCTTTCCAGGAAAGATGTACTCTTGCTTGGCAGGCTTCATGGAACCAGGTAGGTGCATCACCATTAAGCCTCCTTCACACATTAAAGCCATCGCTTAACAATGTTAAATCTGAGATGCATATACAGGTAGCCCTACATGGTATCAGTGTCTGGATATGGTATAATATTGAAACCCTACAAAATGATCATGAAGTGCCTCAAAAAAAGTAAAAAATCTTTGAGTGACTTGTTTTACCATACTACTCATTTTCCCCAATATACTGTAGTGTTAAAAAAACGTTGGGAAAACAGTTTTTGAAATTTCGAATTCCAAACATAAATATCTTGATAATCAGACAAGCGATCGGCTTGTAGACGTCATAGAATTCCTGACTGACCTAAAGGTTCATAATTATGATTGCAGCATGAGCTAAATCCAGGATTTTGTTTAGAATCTGAGACAAAGATACCCAATCCCTTCAATAAAAGCAGTTGAATGATGTGATCAAAGGGTGCTCTGACATAATATACTGAAGCGACAATTTCCCTGGGCTATATCATGTGAAAGATATAGGGTTAGGAGTAGGGTTGCAATTAGGTTTTAGGCTAGGGTTAGGCCTAGCCTTAGTTTTAAGTATAGTGTTTAGTCCAGTGTTGAATTTGGTCAGTGTAGGATGTTGATTGCAAAGATTCTCATGTTAATCGTCGTTTATTACTAGGTGAGACTATTGAGGATGCTGTGAGGCGCGAAACCAAAGAAGAGAGTGGGATCATCGTAGGCAAGGTCCAATACCACTCCTCCCAGCCATGGCCGATGCCTTCCCAGCTCATGATAGGATGTATCGCCAAGGCAACCTCCTCCAAGATCACCGTAGATGAAGACGAGCTGGTGGATGCTCGTTGGTTTACTCGACATGATGTGATTGAGATGCTCGGGTCGTCGGGTGGTTCGGGGTCTTCCGGGGGAGGTATGTTTGTACCTCCCGGAGCAGCCATAGCCCATCAATTGCTTAAACACTGGGCCAAGATGTCTCCAAACCTCTGATCAATTCCTACATTCCTCTACAAGAAATAGAATATCTTTGAATAAGTATTTGTTTGTCCATCTGTGTACCCCACTAGCTTGTTATGATATCTCAAGAATCATTAGATCTTTGAATAGCTTTAAATACATACAGTCATAGAAATGAGTGCAGAACCTTTTGATTCAGTGCTAGTATGCTTTATCGAGTAGTACAGGCATACTGAAGCTTTTCATCTTGCACTCATAAAGATTGATTTGATTTTCTGTTCATTCTTCCATTTTCCTCTAATAAGTACTAGATGGAAAAGTTCAGTCTGTCTGTATTATAATAATAATAATAATAATAATAATAATAATAATAGTGGCTTCTTGTATAGCGCACATGTCCACCTTTCGGTGCTCATGGCGCTTAGAGAAAAGTACATGTAACAGACATAAGAAAGAAAAAACAATAAACCAAAAAACAAATTCGAAATTCTCCTAGACTTAGTAAATTAGAATATTGCAATAACTATGTCATACTTCATGGATACAAAGTTACCAAAGATAGGTTATATCAAATTCTTTCTCAGTACCCAGTACTTATATTACTACTAAAATCACTATAGAACTTGGGAACCACTCTGAATTACCAGAACTTACTTGCAGTACACCATGTTATCAACTGTTGAGACTTGGGGCTTATTAGGTCAAAGGTCACCAGTGTCAATTTATACATGTAAGTATAGTATTTTATTCACAAGATCTGTAGATGCTAAATTTGTTTGGCAATGATACAGTACAATATTTTTAGATGGAACCTTCTTGATAGTATGTTGTATTTTCTAGATATCTGTGAGCCCCATCCTTCTTTTTTTCATTTGCTATTGTCTCATTTTAATATCATGTGCTACATCAAGAATTTAATTTTAAAATATCAAAACCCATCATTGGATCACTACTTTTTGTAATTGTTGTAAGTGAGATATTAGTCAGAGAGCTATATCCTCAGCCTTTTTACCTAGCTATGTTGACTTATTTTAAAGTAGACACACAAAGAATCAAAAGTGTTTTGAATTGATGCAAAACTCATATCATTGCGAAGGGGAAGCTTTACTGATCAAATACAACAACTCTCCTTTTCAAAATATGTTTCAGGCCTGCAGTAATCAACTCTCAAAAATGTTAGTTTTGAGATCCAGATTTTCTGCCTTCAGCGGTCCTTTGTAGAGCGTCAATATTTGTGACATCACACACGGGACACGGCTGGCTAGCTGCAGACTAATACATGCGCGACTCCGGTATGCGGCCGGTACCGAGCTGTTTGTCCAGGGTGTGACGTCACTATTCAGAGCTCGCTACGCTCGTGTGTTTGGCTTACGTTCGGGGGCGCTTGGGGGTCTAAGAAGGGTCTTCAAAAAATTGCATTTTACGCCTTTCCATGATATCTATATGATTTCTCAGCAAATTATTCGTGTTTTTCAAGAGAAAATCTTTCCATCCATATGTAATTTGTTCTAATTATCAGTTGTTAGTAAATTTTCTTTGTGTAGCTCCTTTAATGTACACATCAGTACTAAGTACTACATGTACAAGCTCAACAAACTTCAAAAGATGATCAAATAATAATGTACAATTCGAGAAAGCTGTCACAGCATTATCTCTGGGTTGCCAGAAGAAAAGGTTACAAATATTGGAGAAAACACTATGCAAGAAAAACAGAATTTGCTGCATGCATTTCAAAACAAAACAGTGCCCTCACTGCGTTGGGGTAAGCCGTAATTTGTTCAATTATTTATCATGCGGGTATGTTCTTCATGACTTGTGTGTAGAAAACGTATTGTAATGCCAATTGTTTAGAATGAAAATACATGTCTTCTTCCACTTTTTAAGTAAAATGAAATGCCTGTTAGTGTTTGTATTCAGGGATTATCATTTGATCAAATGTAATTATCAAGTGCAATCAATAGTTTCAATTTTTATAATGAATTGAATTTGTCATATATGTAATTCTTTGAATTGTTATGTATATGAATATAGTTTTTATATTATACATATTCAAAGATCTCAATAAATTATGAAATTGAACTTGCTATAGCATGCCCGTCATCCGAGTCCTTCATGATTTTCAATTATTTTTTGTAGGCTTTCATAAGTTATCTGCTTTGCTTTTACTATCATTTTATAATTTATATGTTTTTACCATAATTTCAAAAATAAAATCTTTACTAATCCGAGTAGGTACTTGGAATCATACATTCCAAGTATTCATTAATAACAATGGACAATATGTAAACATACACATAAATCAGCAGACAATTACCCATGTAGCAGGGACTGACTGAGGTCTTAAAAGGGACAGTCCATACTGATATTAACTTGGTTTAAATAGAAGCAGTTGAGTTACCAATTTGTGTTTGATCGAGTACAACTTTTGATAAATTAAAAAACTTTCTTAATATTTAACAGATTTTCCTCAAACCTTCACTGATCAATGTCTCCCTTTTTTTTTCTTCTCACTTTTAATTTAACAAAGTTGCTTTCAGGTTCGAATTCCCTAATCAGAATTGATCAGTTTGTACTTCATAGAAGACCAGCTGAACTCTTTCTTGTTGACGAGTTTGGTTGGAGGTCTAGGCACTAGGGGGTGTCATGCTGTACTTGGACGCTTGCTGACTATAGGGTCTGCGAAATGGTTTGATCTCCTCTTTAATATTTTAAAAACGTACTTCAAGTAGAAGATGTAAATGCGGGGGAGAGATAAGAATGAAAGAGTGTTTGAGAAAAGATGCCGATAGCCAGCCCTCCCTCGTCAAGCGACGCCCATCGAATGACACATTAGTCATTCCTCGAACTCTCCATGACACGACTTAAAAGTGCATGTTTTTGTGTGTGGTTTGGGGGCTGACAAGGAAATTAGTTGACCGAACATGAACGGGGTTCCTGAGGACAGGAATGTTAAGTTTCCCCTGTCGCATGCACACTTCTACCTTGTTTTACTCCTTCTATACGAACGGGATCCAATGAAATTGTTAGTCGTATTTGTATCTGTATGTACTCTTATTTTCTCCCAAAATGAGCTCCTGCTCGAAAGAAAGGTTTATTCATATTTCTTAGCCTAGATGGCATACGCCAGCATTGGATACAGGCGCGCATCTAGGATTTGTAAAGAGAGGGCACAATACTCCCCCCCCCCCCTTTAAAAAAAGGTCTTCACGTCAAACGGGGTAACACATACCTGGGCCCCGTTTCACAAAACTTGTCATCAGAGACAAATGACAGTTTTTTGTTATACTGAAATCCTTGCTTCTGAGTGGTTATCAGTAGATATGTCACTGGTTTTTGTCATTTGTCATTGAAAAAAGGCTTTGTGAAACACCCCCTGGAGTTATATTCCACTTGTGTTTCAAGGGGACACGGGAAGGTTGACTACCTCCACCACCCTACCCCTAAAGGCTGCCTGTGCGGGATGTGCCTCTTCATGTGGGGTTCATCTGTTTTTCTTCACTGTAGGTTTAACTTTAACTTTAAAGCTGGGATTTAAACCGAGTCTGAAGGGGTGTGATGATGAAAATGTTGTTATTGATCTTTATGATGAATCATCGCAATTCAGGGTTTACTGACACGGCTACAAAAACGGGTCTGTGGTTAAATGTAAAGCGGAGTTCAGCTGGTAAAGGATTTTAGGAATACGTGAAAGTCTACATATCTCTAGTAGTTGAACCCTATTTGATCTTTTGATTTGGGTTCAAAAGGCAAGCATTCAAGTGAGGATATAATTCAAAACCAAATAATAATATCGGTGACAGCCTGACAGGGATTTCTAGGAGTCCGACCGTAAAACATTAGGTCTATTATCTTGCTAGGGAAAAAATATATATTATAACGTTAAAAATCTAATTAACGAAAGACAGTTTTCTCTTAAATATAAAATAATATTGAAAAGAACCATAATCGAAAATGCAGAGGTATATATTACATGTATCATCAACATCAAATATAGACTAGTAATCTGAGCTGCGAGGAGAAAAAATTGTTTGGAAAAACCCGTGTCCAGAGTAGCTTTATAAGGTACCCTGTTGTCAAGTGAATAGCGCCATCAGTTAAATCTATGGAGAAGAACATCAATTATTGCCATTCCTCCAATATCACCCAAGACTAAGAATCGGATAGTCTTAAAACTATTACAGATACTATGCGCCCCCTTCAGCTGCCTATCTGGATATGCTTTGCCATGATTATCAATTTTGGGTGTGATGCGATATGGAAGCGAATAAACTTGACACATTTTAGATAGCTTTGAAAGTTGTTGAGAATTGTAATATTTCGATATGGCCCCAACACTGTAAATCATTTTTCAAAAATTAGACCCCCCCCCCCCCCTCTTCTTGAACGCTCCTCCCTCCTTCCTTATCCTTTTTTTTTCTACTTTTGTTTTCTTCATTTTTTTTATTTCTTTCTTTTATTACGATCAAAACAAGTAACAACGAATCATCAACCAGTAAGTGCAATTTCAGAACGCTGTTCTAATCATATCATGAGAAATCATGTTCCGATTACGTAACGCGTCATTGCCATTTTCACACCTTCTAATAGATGACGCATCAGACTATTCAAATGCCTTTTACGGAAGTAGTTGCAATCATCTTTTGACGCTTTTATATTTACATCGGAAGAAATCATGTTCGGAGTTACATAACGCGTCATTGACATGTTCACACATTCTTAGTGGTGACACATAAAACTATTCAGATTGCCTTTTACGGAAGTACAGGTAGTTGCGATCATGTTTCGACGCTTTTATAATTACATCGGAAGAAATCATGTTCGGAGTTACATAACGCGTCATTGCCATGTTCACACATTCTAATAGGTGACGCATAACTAGGATAAGATTAATCAAGTTGCCTTTTTACGACAGTAGTTGCGGTCATGTTTTGTTTCATGTTATCTTTCCTTCTTTCTATCGCTCTTTCTTGATTTAATCGATCTCTTTCTTAGTTTGATTGATTGATTCGTCTATTCATTCACTCATTTATTCATTCAACTATTTTCCATCTCGCGCCCCATCCCTCTCTCTCTCTCTCTCTCTCCCTTCTTTCTCTCTCTTTCTCTCCCTCTCTTTCTCTTTCTCCCTTCTCTCTCTCTCTCTCTCCCTCTCTCCTGTCCCCACTCCTCTTCTCTCTCTCTCTCTCTCCCTCCTGTCCCCCTCCCCCTTCTCTCTCTCTCTCTCTCTCTCTATCTCTCTCCATCTCCCTTTCTCTCTTTCTCTCTCACTCTCTCGGTCCTCGTTACCCCTCCCATCTGAAATAGATCAAATTTGATTTAAATTATAGATGAAGCCGCCCATGGATGGACCCCATACGTCAGCAGTAGGAAATGAACGCCCTCTCCCACCAAGCAG